CCACACCTCCAGGGCTGTGTCCAGGGCTGGGCCCTCATCCCAAGAGAGACACTGAGGGGCTGGAGTGTGTCCAGGGAAGGGAACGGAGCTGGGAAGGGGCTGGAGCAGCTGAGGGAGCTGGGGGGGCTCAGCCTGGAGAAAGGGAGGCTCAGGGGGGACCTTCTGGCTCTGCAAGTCCCTGACAGGAGGGGGGAGCCGGGGGGGGTCGGGCTCTGCTCCCAGGGAACAAGGGACAGGAGGAGAGGGAACGGCCCCAAGCTGTGCCAGGGGAGGGTCAGGTCGGACATGAGAATGAATTTCTTGTTGGAAAGGGTGGTCAGGCATTGGAAGGGTGGTGGTGCCCTTCCTGGACACCTTCCTCTGCCCAGGGAGGTGGTGGAATCACCATCCCTGGAGGTGTTCAGAGCACTGATCTCAGTGGAGATCAGTCACAGGTTGGACTTGATGATCTTGGAGAACTTTTCCAACCTCAGTGTTCTGTGATTAACAAGTTCCTGCTGTTTGACATGTGAACTGTGTGCAGAGGAGGGAACACACCTTTCAGAGTAGCTGGGGTTCTCCTTTTAACCTTTTCACCAGCTTTTACTCCTGACTGACACCTGCAGCACAGCTTGGTGTTTGAGGGAAAGAACCCCTGAGGTACCCAAATCCCACTTGTTTGCAGGCAGTAAAACATTTGTGGCTGTGCAGCAGCTCCTGTCTGCAGCTGTGGCTTCAGGGGACCTGGGGCCAGCTCTGAACCATCACACAGAGCTCTGAACGAGGCTGCTCAAGTTGTGCTCAAACGTTGTGCCCATTGTTCGTCCTTATCTGCTGGGTTTGTGCTGAGTCAGCAACCTCCTGGCCTCCCAAACAGCTGCTCAAACCCACCTGGAGGGTCTGAAGTGGACACTGTGTGGAGAGCCTCGGTCCACTTGCAATTGGAAAGACCCTCATGGTTTTAGAAGGTTTTTGTTTGAGTTTGGCAAAGAAGGGAATGCATGAAGCTGCTTTTTGGTAAGAATACCTGCATCATCCTGACACCTTGGAAAACCAGGGATTTCAGGGTTGAAAGTCATGGAGGAGCCTGAGCTCCAGGCTGAGCTTCTTCCAAAGGGTTCATCCCTAGGTCTGCTTATTGCAGAGGAGCTTTACAGTATTGACATGTCCTGAGCCCAGCTCTGCTGCCCAGTCCTGGTGCTGCCAGGCCCACAGCACCTGGCAGAGTGTTGGCCCTTCTAAAGGATGTCTGAACAATCCCAAACCAACCCAAACAGATAGAAAAGCCCCAGCAACCTGCTGCTGCCCCAAGAATGTCACACCCTGCGGGTCAGGGTGGGTTTTTATTTTCCTCAGTCTTTGCTTTGCCTGGATTCAAATGTTAAAGATCCTCGCACGTAGCACTGTGGGGATGAACTGCCATCACAGCAAATCTCATTTAGAGAATATTTGTAGTGTGGTTCAGCCAAAACCTATATCAAATTCTGCTGCTTTTAAAGAAAACAGTGCACACAGGGAGAAGGTGTCTGTGTTACAGTTGCCTCCTCCTTGGATGGGTTAATGACCAGTTCTCCTTTCCATGGTAATAAACCCTTTATTTATATCAGGACCTTCTGTTCTGCCCAAGATAAGCCTTGAATCTACTGAGATGAGTTTTCAATTGATTTTTTTAGTCAGACTCACCTATGAAATAGAAACTTTTTGTGCAATCTGGCTTGCCACATTAGCAGATTTTCCTGTAGGAAAACCTTTGCCGTGCTCTCCAGTGGATGCTTTTATTTGTAACAGAGGTTCCAGAGCAGAAACTCACAGGCATAAGGTCCAGCAAGAAGAAATATGTTCAATTACAGTCTTGTACATCTGCATCTCTGATGGGCTTCATCTTTCTTTCTTTCTGTGGACTTAGAAATGCATTGTAACTTGTTCAAACAAAATAGGAGCAACCTTGGTAAAAGGGAAAACTGGTGTCAGTAGAGTCATGGTGATGTAAAAAGGATGATGTTGTGTCAGCCCAGGCACTGCCACAGCTCTGTGTCCCTTCCTGATGGCTCTGAACCTGCAAGGAGGGTTGTGCTGGAGAAAAGGCACAAAGTGTTGAGGATGCAGAGGAGCCTTTCCCTGTCCAGAAGGGTTTTCCTTGTGCACTTGCATCTGGACTATCCCCTGCTCTTGGTCTAAATCCTAATCTTATCTTCAGCCCTGTAAACCCTGGCAGCTTTTGGCCTTCCTGGGTTAATCACACTGGAGGTAATTTGGTTCAGAAAGGTGAGCATTAATCAGTGTCCTGATTTCACTTCCAGCCTTTCCATTTGATCCAGGCTGGAGATAATTCATTTTACAGCGTGTACCTGCCTGATGATGAATGAGTTTTATCTCTTTTTCCATGACTTTTCAGCTTCTGGGAGTTGGATTTGCTACAAAGGCTATAAAAATGTCTGAGTCACGTGTAGCTGAGCTGGGTTGGTGGGACACAAGGACTGATAAGGAAAGATATCTCAGATGACCTCATCTGCTGCCTCTTGATTTCTGCTTCCCTTTGACACTCCTGATCACAGAATAAAAGTATTCCAAAAATCTGATTATCATCTGTGCCATTAAGTGCAAGTTTAATTGCTGAGCAGAAGCAAGAAGAGTTGAGAGATTTGTTCTCCTGGTTTTTCTTGGAGCACCCTCCTGACACACACATGTACACACACACTCCCCTCTGCAGGAAAAGCAGCAGATGAGGCTCTGTTTGTAAATTTGGAGTTGCTTGATTGGGAACCTTCATCTAAACACTGGTTTAGCTGTTGTGTATCAGCTCTGAACAATTAATACAAGGCAAGCCTTGCTGCTCTCCTGGTGGAATTCTCCGGTCCCGTTCCTGGGGTGTGATCCCAGCCTGGAGGAGGTGGCAGTGCTGCTGGTTTGCAGTGCACAGGAAAATGGGATTAGAGGGTCTTTTCTCTTTTATCAGTGGAGATGCTGGTTAATGCCAACTAAGCAGCTTATGGTCCCAGAGGACCTGAAACCACATCTCGTGACTGGCAGGTTTCCTCACTCCGGGGTTTTCTTGGCCTGGGGCCTTGGTTAGGGAGGTGTCCTGCTGCCTTTTCCCTTCCCAATCCCACAGGATAAAGCTGCCAGACTAAACCTTGCCTGTCTCCATCACTGATTTTCTTGGAGAATAAAATAAGTCAACATGGACAGAAAAAGGCAAAGTCTTTTATTCTTTTGTGCTTGGAAAAAAAAACCCTCGTGGCTCCACAGTAAAAGCAAACAAAACCCCTCCAGAAATCCCAGCCCAGACCCCCCAGTGCCCCCAGACCCTTAACCAGGACCTGTCTCTTTTCCACCCTGAGCTGCACTTTGAAGAGGAAATCTGTGGTCATTGTAAAAATGGGAATGACCATTTTTTCCAGAGTAACAAGACAGTGACTATTCAAACCAGTTCAGTTTTAAGTCCAAGTGAGAAATAATTAATTATGCTACTTAATATTTACCTTAATAAACAAGTTTTAGCCCTTATTTGCAGGCACTGCCTTTCATCCCATCTTGATTTAATTAAGGCTTCAAGGCTATCCCGGTGCCCAAATAGTCTTTCTTGTGTGGGTATATTTTCTCTCCAGAAAAGTTACATTGCTTTGAAAGATTAACATCTCTTTCACCTCAAGTAACCAGAATTTTCTAGCAAATGGGCAATTAACAGCTATTAAGAGGTTCTAAAATACCACTGTTCCAAGAGTCTTTGTCAGGTTTAGTTATTATTGCAATTACAGTAGACAGGAGCTGCTGGCATTTCCTGAGCAGCATTTGGAAGGGAAACTTAAAGAAAAAACCCAAACCCTACTTTTTTTTCTTTCTAATGTAAACCAAACTGTGTTTTTGAGTGTCCATCAGCTGCATTTCCACCTCTGTTGATTTGCTTGAACATGTCATTACCTTACTTTTGAAGTAACTCCTGTGTGCAGTGGGTTTTGCTGCTTCAATGTGCTTCTTGCTGCAGAAAATTCCACTTTCTGTGATTTTTAAAAGGCCATTTTTCAGGTTCTGCCCTGTACTTTCACCTGTATCTGAGCTGGTTTCACCCACAGGTGTTTGTGGCTTCATTTTCTGTTTGAGGCTCAGGAACCCCAGGCTGCAAAATTTGCTTTGCTGTGGAATTTTCTGTGCTGTCCTGCAGGAAGTTTATGTTTAAATCCATTAAATGCTATTCTTTAGTCTTGGAAGTGGCAAATGTGTGGATGATGATGGACAGGCAGGGCTAATTTAAGGAGCAAATGGGGGAAAACTGTACTGTAGTGACCCATCTGGGAAAACAAAAAGGGAACTCGTGGGCTGTGAGATCTTCCTGTTCCTGTGCCAGAAGAGTAGTGAAACTAATTAAAATGCACCAGTTTATCCTGAAGCTGTTGCTTCAACATCATCAGGCAGATGACTTGGAACATCCCTCAAACAACTGGGATAATTTGGAGTGGGGATGTTCAGCAGAAAGGGATAATTTGGGGTGGGGATGTTCAGCAGAAAGAGCTGTTTCTGTCTGAATTAGACTCACTGAAAGGCAGGTCCTTCACTCTCCATCTGGTCTGAGCTTCCTGGATTCTTTTATTTAATAATGAGTTGTTTTCAGGCAAAGGATTCAGTTACACAGAGGTAACTGCAAATTTACACTCCTTGAGGAAGCCCAAGTCCTGTCTGCAGTGGGTGTTCAGCTGTTCTACTCTGCTCCTTACCTGGAGTACAGGTGTACTTTGTTCCCAGAAAATTCCATGGAAATGGCTGTGAAATGGGAAAAAACCAAAGGTTTCAATTTGCTACTAATGATTGAAGATCACAAGAGAAGAATGAGAAAATAATCACAGTATTCCTATCCTGAAAGAATTTAAAATACCTTCAGCTTTATGTTTAAATGATAGTCTGCTAATTATTGGGGAGGATTGATGAGAGCTGTTGAGTCATGAGCATGAAAGGGAGCCCAGGCTGTGGGGTGGTGTGAATGTACACAGATCTTAGGGAATAAAAATATCCATCTTCAATTCCAGGAGCCATTGATGCCAACGACACCCTGATGTCCCAGCTGGATTACTGAGAACTCTGGTGATTCCTGGAGGTGCTGCTGTTCACATAAGGAATTGTCCTCAGTCTCTCATCCCAGCAGCATCCGTGTGGGTGCTGAATGCAAGTCCTGGACATTCTGGAAACGATGGGGATTGGCAAAAACACCACCTCGAAGTCGGTGGAGGCGGGAGGGTCCACAGAGGGCAAATACGAGGATGAATCCAAACATCCCACCTTCTTCACCCTGCCTGTGAGTACCACAGTCCAGCTCTGCAGAGTCAGGCTCAGTGTGAATCAGGCAGTAATGTTCTAATCATGTTGTACAAACCCCTCATTGCCACAAACAGTTGGTAACAAACCTCTTTTGCCACTGGCTGGTGTTTACATGGAAACACGGCCAATTACCCAGTGTGGGTGTTCCCTGTGTGCTCCCGAGCTGGGCTGTTCCCAGCACAGGCAGCACCCCAGGCACTGCAGGACTGGAGCAGTTACCTGTCCTTCTGCAGCGTGAGCACGAGCCCCTGGTATGGAATCATGGAATCATTAAGGTTGGAAAACACCTCCAAGATCATCAAGCCCAACCTTTAACCAAATCCCACTACATGTCACAAAGTCTACTTGGTTTTTGAACACCTCGAGGGATGGGGACTGCACCCCTGCCCTGGGCAGCCTGTTCCAGTGTTTAAACACTCTTTCAGTGAAGAAATTTTCCATGATATCCAACCTGAGCCTCCCCTGGCACAGCTTGGGGCCGTTCCCTCTCCTCCTGTCCCTTGTTCCCTGGGAGCAGAGCCCGAACCCCCCCAGCTCCCCCCTCCTGTCAGGGGGTTTCAGGGCCAGAAGATCCCCCATGAGCCTCCTTTTCTCCAGGCTGAGCCCCCCCAGCTCCCTCAGCTGCTCCAGCCCCTTCCCAGCTCCGTTCCCTTCCCAGCACACGCTCCAGCCCCTCAGTGTCTCTCTTGTTGAGGGCCCAGCCCTGGACACAGCCCTGGAGGTGCCCCAGCAGTGCCAGCACAGGGACGGGCACTGCCCTGGGGCTGTGACACCCCATGGCTGGGGCAGCCCAGGGGCCATTGGCCTCCTGCCCCCTGGGGTCATGTTCAGCCCCGTCAACCAGCATGTCCTGAGTTGCTCAACTAAGAGTAAAAGACAACAGCAAGGAAACATTTGCTTCTCTTCTTCTACTTACTCAGATGTTCTGTTGGAGAACTCTTCCAACCAATCTGCTGCTGGTTCCCCCCACCCCCAGCTGGCACTGCACAGGCTTTCAGGAGCTCTGTGTGATGTCTTTGAGGAACTCCATGTGATGTCTTTCAAGCCCCTCTCTCTCCCCAGACCTGCTGTTACAGAAATGATGACTTGCCGTGCTTGTCATGTTTTCTGACAATGTCAGAGGCAGATGGCAAGTACCAAGGGAGAAAGCTGAGAGACACGAGGTGTGATTGCTAAGACAATGTTTATTTTAAGACCTTGTGTTTGCTATTTGTTGTGTTTTTAAGGTTGTGATAAACGGTGGAGCAACGTCCAGCGGTGACCAGGATACAGAAGACACGGAGTTGATGGCCATCTATACCACAGAAAATGGCATAGCAGAGAAGGTATGTGGTGGTTCCCTTGTAGGTGAGGACTCGTCCTTGCTGTCTCAGTTCATTCTTTGCCCACCCCAGTCCCACGTGGTTGTGATTTCCCGTCTCAGCAGACGGAGCTGACTCGGGACTCACGTCAGGCTCGGGGTGGTTTGGCCCCATGACTGCTCTGGTCACACTCTGTGGTTGCAGAGCACAGGCCATGACTCAGGGGATGGCAGCAGTGAATGCACTTTGACCTGGCACCAGAATTCATAATATGCAAGTTTTTGATTTCTTCATTCCCACTGGCCTTTTGCGTGGTTTCCCTGGGAAGGTCACTGTGCTGTGCTCATAATTGTGAACCTCCTCTGCATTTCTCCAGGGAGACTGGTGGTGCTGAGCACCTCTAAAAGTGGGATCTTTCCCACTCTCCCAATTTCTTCCAAGCTCCAGGCTCACAAGATTAATTTTTTGAGTCCTTTTTCCAACTAGAGGCTGCTCATTATTATTGAGTGGCAGCTTTATGAATGAACTTGAGGTCATAAAAACCCTTGAACATTTTTCCTTAGGAAAACTATGACTGTGTTTCACCTATTCAGGGAGACCAGTTGAGGCCTCAAAGGACACCAGTTTGGTTGTGATTTTTCCAGCTTTTTACTCCATTCCATCATCCCCTAAGCCTGTTCAATAATAATCCTGCCAGCTGAGATGATTTGAATCTGAGCTTTTATTTAAAATAAGGACGAGGATTATGATAAATCTGAACAGCACTTTCTGAAATCTAAACTCCAACTGGCTTTGTGGTGAAGCCTTGTCTCTGAAAAGCCTCAACTTGACCTAATTTTTCAAGTGTACCAAGTGAAACAAGACCAAAGCTCTCCTGATTCCAAGCAAGAGCATCTTGGTGCTCATCTGTGTGAGGCTGTAACTTGTGATGGGACAAGGATGATACCAAGGGGTGCAGTGGGGGTTTTCCAACTCAGACACCAAAATTCTCCTCTGAATTTCAGATTTAAAATACCCCTAAATAGATGATTCTCCAGAGGTTTTTTAGTGGTGCATTTCAGAAGAATGTTACAAACACCCATGTGGCTCAAACACATCTCTGTGACCATCGTGGTCGTGCTGATCCTCAATGGACAGATTTTGGCAACTGTTGAGCTGCATGTCTGGGATGGCTGATATTTGGAGCGTGCTTGGACTGGAGTGGAGAGAGACAATCTGATAAAGCTCTGAGCAAAAGGTGTTTGGGTGAAATTGTGCAACCAAGATAAGCGATCTCCAGACACCAAACCGTGTCCTCATGGCCTGGTTTTACCAAATGCGTGTTTTTTCTGCCTTCCAGTTGATCCATGTGATCAGAACTGTAAATGATGGGGAATAATTCACCTCAGAGAGACCCATGAGCTTTTGAGCAACCAAATCTACTTGACTTAAAGCTTTGTTGTGGTCACAGGGAATGAACAGGGGAGGCCCTGGCACAGGTTGCCCAGAGAAGCTGTGGCTGCCCCGTCCCTGCAAGTGTCCAAGGCCAGGTTGGAGCAACCTGGGCTAGTGGAAGGTGTCCCTACCCATGGCCAGGGTAGGATGAAATGGGCTTTAAGGTCCCTTCTAACCCAAACCATTCCATGATTCTGTGATTCTATGTTTGTTCTTGGCTTTCCTTTCTCTTGAGAGATCATTTCCTAACAAAAGACCTTTATAAAAGCCTTTTATGTATTTATATATTATAAAAAGCCTTTAGCAAACAGGCCTGAAATGTCCTTAATCACTGGAGGGTGCCTAGTGCTCACATTGGCTCCCAGTATTTGTTAGCTGAGAGAGTAAACTGTGAGCCCAAATGAGAAATAACTGTTGCTGCCTCCCTGTAAAATAAACAATGTGATGTTGCTTAATAGAATCCTGGAATGGTTTGGGTTGGAAGGGACCTTAAAGCTCATCCAGTTCCACCCCCTGCCATGGGCAGGGACACCTTCCCCTAGACCAGGTTGTGGGTTCTGTATTGAAGGTGTTTCTCCAAAGTCTTTGCTCCCCACACTTCATCAGTTTTCTCTTGGTCTTTTGCACGACCACGTGACATCAGAGCCTTTGTCTTACACTGTTGGGGTTTGTTTCTTTGCATTTTGCACTGGGATTGTTGTGGGGTTTCTTTTTTCCCTCCAGCATTCTTTCTGCACCTTTATCTGTCTCCCCCCCCCCCCGTTTATACTTACCAGAAAAATGAAAAAAAAAAAAAGCACAGCATGTTCCACCTTTGGCCAGTTAAAAATAATTAAAGGAGGAATTAGCCTGTGATCAGTATCTCGTTCAGGGAGGTGCAGCTCATTCCCGGCAGTTCCCTTGGCACACTTGGCAAACAGCAGCTCTGAGTCAGGGTTAGACCAGCAGGCACATGCTGGAGAAGCCAAAGGGCCAGTGACTCCCCAGTGAGTTACTGGGATGGCCAGGCCTCACCTGAGTTCTGCAGTTCCTCATTGTTCAGGCTTGGTCTGCTCAGGGTTTGACCAAGGTGAGGGTTCCCTGTCCAAAGGGATCTAAGCCTGGCTTTGGAAGGAATGAGGAGTGTCCTGGTTGTTTTCTTGATACAACCCCTTTACTGTGTAGACATTGCCATGACATTTATGCCTTGGAAACTGGAAGTTCTTTTGTTAGAAGACCTGTAACCTTCACTTTCTAAAGGAGAGCTTGAGTTGGTTGGCATTTGTTGATCTGTACCCAGAGAGACCTTTCTCTGTGCCATGGACCAGCTCCCTTGTGCCTGCTCCTGGTTTTTGTTCTTTGCAAGACTAATTTAGGAATAATGTAATCCCAAGTGGAAAGCTCTGAAAGGACTAATACCCTTGCTGTGTGTGCCATGGCCTTCCTGGGAGAAACAGGCCATTGCTTCTGCTTTCTGCTGCCCAAAGAAGAGGGAGGATAGAGTAAGACTGACTAAACCAGGACTCACTAGGATAGGATAGTGTAGAATAGGATAGACTAGAAGGGCAAGTGGAAAAGTTAAGGAATGCACTTTATGCAGCCTCATCAGTCCAGTGAAGAAAAATAAGTGTTTGGCACCAAGTGGAACACTGGGGCAGCTTCTGGATACTGGTCTGGCCAAGCTGGAAAAGAGCCCAAAAGATGGGTTTTCCAAAGTCCAGAGTCACCAACCTGCACAAATCTCTGACTGGGTTTTAGAGAACCCGTTATCCTGCATGGGAACAGCATGAACTTTGGCAGTCCCATTTCTGTCCATCCTTGGCAGGGTTGAGGAGGTTTCTCAGTGCAGGGTGGTGGGTGTTCCATCCCTTCACTGTCCACAGCTGGTTCTCCTCAATCCCTGCTGCTCTTTTTGGGTGGCTCCAGCCAACCAGCACTGAGGGGATTCCTGAAGCAAACAGTTATTTCCGCTGGTGCTTCCCTGTTCATCCTTCACAGGCAGATGGTGTGACATCCTCACTGTGCCCCTCAGAAAGTGTGTGGTGCCCTCTGGGTCACAATGTTGGATAAACACAGCGGGGCTGGTGAGCAAAGCCCTGCAGTGGAGCCTGTGGCCGTGGACAAGGGCAGGGACGAGGCAGTGGGACACACGGGGAGGTGCTTGGTGTGTAACTCAGCTTTTGGGCTCCTCGGGACAAGAAGGACATTGAGGGCCTGGAGTGTGTCCTGGACTGGGGAAGGGGCTGGAGCAGCTGAGGGAGCTGGAGGGGCTCATCCTGGAGAAAAGGAGGCTCAGGAGGGACCTTCTGGCTCTGCAACCCCCTGACAGGAGGGGGGAGCTGGGGGGGTTAGGGCTCTGCTCCCAGGGAACAAGGGACAGGAGGAGAGGGAACGGCCTCCAGCTGTGCCAGGGGATGTTCAGATTGGACAACAGGAGGAATTTCTTCAGGGAAGGGGTTGTTAAAGGTTGGAATGGGCTGCCCAGGGAAGTGATGGAGTTGCCGTCCCTGGAAGTGTTCCAGAAACGTGCCGATGTGGCAGCTGGGGAGATGGTTGAACGTGGTGCTGGTGATGGGTTGACAGTTAGACTTGATGATCTTAAAAGTTTTACCAACTTAACGATTCTGTGGTTCAAATTCCTGATGTTTTCATGTTTTTTTTCAGGATTTTTTAGAGAATTGGGTCAGGAGAAAAAAAATTGATGTTTCAGTTGATGAAAGAGTGTCAGTGGTGCTGCAAATTGACCCGAGGGTTGGGCAGAGAGCAGTTTCCCTAATTCCTCAGTTTAGGACCTATACCCTGGTGAGAGGATTGCCTGGTGCTTAATGTGGTTTAAAAGACTTTTCTGAGATTAGTGTTCCTATATTTTACTTTTCCACTGCAATACCCCCGACCTCTCCATAATCCTGTGGTCAGGAGAATTATCCCAGTGGCACTTGTTTTCCCAACAGGAAACTGAGGTGAGAGGGAAGGACCAGGGGGCAGTTTGGCTTCCCTGACCTTGCAGGTGATCCGCAGTGGAGGTTCCCTAAGTGTGACCTGTGGATATGTTGGGATTTCTGGAGACCATCTGAGGCAGTCACGGGTCTGGCAGAACTCCTAGTCCTGGTGTGAGGCAACTTCACGTGGGCTCCTTGTGTCCTGGTGTGGATTAGGGCAGAACAGCTCTTACATAAGGGGGTTTTTGGTTTCTTGATAATGATAAAACCTGATACTTCCTCCTGCTTTTACTGTTGTGTTGGGGCTTTGGAGCAGTGTGGTTTTGCTCTCAGGAATTCGCAAACAGGAGAGTTGGAAGGAAATGATTCTCCAGAGTTCTGAAGGAGAAATGATGGAGCTGGATTTTGTTTTAGTGGAAAACCCACAGGGATGTGGATGTGTGAATATATGTGGTCAGTTGTCTGTTGGCCCTCTGGGCATGTGGTGGGGCAGAGTGTGGTCTCACTGAAATTCCTGCAGGGATTTAAATTCCTAGGGGAAGTCTGGCACAAATTGGCTGGGGATGTGTTTGGTTATAACAATTAGCATTTTTCTTGACTGCTTGAATGTGGGGTGGAAGCAAAAATAATAAATCCTTTGGCTAAAAAAGGTTAACCAAGATGGAATTGGGTAAGAATTACCAAAATGAGGAATTTTTTTGCCTGTCATTTTGGTCTCTTATGCAAGGACAGAGCCCTTCTGCTTTGGCAACAGCCACTGGTGGCTCTTCTACTCAGTTCCAATTCTTCCCTAATTCCTTTTTTTGTTTGGTTTTGTGGTTTTGGTTTGTTGGTTTTGGGTTTTTTTAATAGTCTCGTCATGACTATGCCATTTTTGGTCACCTTTTGGCTGCCAGATCAGTTCTATCCTAAATCAGCAATTATAAATAAGTCACTGTGTAAATAAGCAGGGGGTGGCTGACAGCAGGGAACACGTTCAGGGCAAATTCAGGAGCTGAGCTCAGAGGTAAAAGGCTTTAAAAATGCCAGGTATCAGCATTGTTTGGGAGTGTTGGAGCAGCCTTGGAGTATTGGGGAGTTGCCTGACAGTTCAGACTGACTTTGTTCATGCAGAGCAATCACCTGCTGTTGTCCTTTGTGTCCTTCCCCCCCTGTTTGCCCCCCCAGAGCTCCCTGGCAGAGACCCTGGACAGCAGCGGCAGTTTGGACGCCCAGAGGACTGACATGATTTACACCATTGAGGATGTTCCCCCCTGGTACCTCTGCATATTTTTGGGGTTACAGGTATGTTCCAAACTGGGGGTTAATTCTCCCTCTGTACCTTCTAAAGCTTGTTTAGTATTTTCTGCTCAGTTCGTTGCATTTGTGTGTGTGTGATAGTTTTATTCTTCCCCCTCTCAGGTGTTTGAAGAAGGTGTTAAGAGGCTTCTTCTGAAGCTGATCACACACTGAGATCACTGTGTTGTTAATGATCTGTTTTCTGCTCCTGCATTTGTGAGATTCACTCAAATATTTAGTCTTATAAACTGCTGTTAGTAAGTAAGTGAGGAAATGCTCAGTGGTGACCTTAAGAAGTGACATTTGGCACCTCTGGAATTAAAGATGGAGAGGGATAATGGTTTAGTCCTGAAATCTTGAATATTAAAGCTGCTACTGTAGTTACTTCAGTTCTGAGTAGTTTTTTCAGCAAATACGCAGTGGAGACCTTGAGAAGTGACATTTTGCACTTCTGGAATTAAAGATGGAGAGAGATGATGGTTTAATCCTGAAATTTTGAATATTAAAGCTGCTAGTAGTTATTTCAAGTCTTAAGAGCATCATTGTGGGCCTGGCTTGCTGGGAAGCAGAGCAGGAAACGTCTGTGTTCCTTGGAGAATCCTTGGAGTAAGAGCATGTGCTTCCTGCAGTGAGTAAGGCTGTAGTAGAGAGCTGGACCCCACTGCCAGCTCAGCCCCTCACTTGTGGGAAGCAGAACAGCTCCAGTTTCATCTCCTTCCTTTCTCCAATGGTAATAATATCTGTCCCACAGGAATGCTGGGAATTTGGTAATATCTGTAAAACACGTTGAGCTCTCCAAACAAATACATTCCAAAGCATGCTTTTTATTTCTGCCTTTCCTCAAGGACAGGCAGTTCTGGGGGAATTCTGTTTTTACTTGCTTTGCTCAATACAGTGAATTTGTTTGTTTGTTTGTTTTGCTTCATGTGTTTGGCTTGAGAAGGAACCAGTGAGTGCCCAGTTTCTGCTCCCTGGGAGCTCCTTTGCATCCTGCTTTGTGTGTGCTCCGGGTTCATTTGTGAGCTGAGGGTTTTTCACATGGGTGCAAGTGAATGCAGCCATTCCTGTGCTTTTCTCTTGTTTCCAGCACAGTTACCTGGATACCTCCTGCTCAAGAGCAGCAGCCCTGCAGCTATTTAAATAACCTGGTTTATGTTACAAAACCAGGGATCATTAGCAACTGGCGAGTGGTAGCTGGGGAGAATATTTGAAGAAATATTTGAAGAAAAGGTTAGGACCAGGAAGAGATCTTGGGTGGAAATTCAAAATATCCAAAGCAAGAGAAAAAATGGTGATAAATGAATTTATTTTTGAGCAGTGAGTGCAGAATTAACCGAGCTCTTGCCTCTGGCAGCACTACCTGACGTGCTTCAGCGGGACGATCGCCGTGCCCTTCCTGCTGGCCGATGCCATGTGTGTGGGCTTTGACCAGTGGGCCACCAGCCAGTTGATTGGGACCATTTTCTTCTGTGTGGGCATCACCACGTTGTTACAAACAACCTTTGGCTGCAGGTGAGGTTTGGGGCTCGCTGGGCTGGTGGTAAGACCAGACGCGCGTCGGGGTTTCCAAGATCCGAGAGGGAGGGGGTGTGTTTTCAAAGGATAAACATGAGACACGAGATAGGTCAGATACAGGGCAAGCTTTGGAAAGCTGCTCCCAAAAAAAGGTGGATCTGAAATAACAAAGGGCATTCCAAGGGTAAGAAAATACAGCAGGGAGACGGGAGAAGGAGGAGGGAAACTCATGAGAACAGAGAAGGCAGAAGTGGGAAAAGGGAAAATTCATACACCGTGGTAAAGAGCAGCTAATTTGGATATTTTTATTTATTTGTTATTAGTTTCTTGAATTATATTTTATTCTTTCCAATATTAAGGTGGTTGTGATCAGTCCTGCCCCAAATTACGTCCTTGATCCTGTAAAGGGCTTGGCAAATTAGAAAGGTGGGGAAAGATGATGAGGGTAACTTGTAATTCTCTGAACTGAGTCTCTGTTACCTTCCAGTGCATCAGATAATTTGTTTTTATTTGTTAGTTGCTCTGAGTTGCAGGTCATGATCATTCCTGGAGTTAGGAGTACCCACCCACAAAGGTGTAGCTTTCCAGGGATGCCTTTACCTCTCCTTAGGAGAAAACAAGAACCCACCTGGCAAATACTTGGATAAATCTGGTGTTGGCAAGGACAGGATGTTGTAAGTTTTATTAGCATGAAGATAAATCTTATTTAAAAACCTGCGTTCCACAGTGATCACTGCAGAGATGTTTGATGTGTTTATTTAAACTTTGGGAATAACTAAAACCTGTGGAGTTACTTCTGCATCTTATTCAAGAGGATAAACCAAGAGTGATAAGGAAAACCAGAACCAAAGTGCATATTTAAGAGGATTCCCTCAGGTGCTTCCCTGAATGATTCATGGGCCATTTAGTTCCATTTCAGAACAATTTTCTATTTTCCAACAGCAAGTGGCCAAACACCTCCCACATTTTCCCAGGTTTGTCTCAGAACCAGGATTTTTGGGTGTCAGGGGTGTCTCAGGGGGTGCAGAAGCCAAGCCTGTGGTAGATCAGCTTTTCATCTAAAAATTTGCCAAATATTTCAGGTTTTCCAGTGTAGTCTTTGATTGCTATTTTGGTTAACTTTGATTTGCTGTCTGTTCTTTTCCCAACCTTCCCTATATTTTTTTTTATATCTTACTCAACTCAGGAGATCACTCCTCTATTTTGAGTAAAAAGTTCATTCTGATGACAAAACAACATAGTGAAAATTGTTGAAATTGGAGAAAGTTTTCTTTCCCCAATGTATTTTCTTTAAGTCAAGACTCCCCAGAGTTAATAATGGTATTTTCAGCCCAATTGGCTCTTTGTGCTGTAACCACAAACCCTCCAGCAGCTCACCTGGAGGAGCAGAGTTGTTCCCCTTGCTAATTTGAATTTCCCTTTCCATGGGAGTGTTGGATTTTCCCCCCATCTTCGATTTGGCCCTTTTTTTTTAGGGAATGGAGGGATTGTGGACCCAGGCAGGAATTGGATGATAAGGTTTAGTTGTTCAGCTTTGAGTGTCTCCTCCTTGGATTTCTTGAAGTTTAAAACCTTCCAGTTGTGTTGGAAGTGCGAAGTTGTGGATGAGGATGAGCTCAGAGGGGGGCTTTGTTTTCCTCTACCCCTACCAGCTTTCTTCCTCTGCCTCAAATTTATCAGAAAAGCTTAATTTTCATGTTTCCTGAGACTTTATCTCCTCACATTTGTCATATTTCAATTTTTTTCCCCCTAACTAATTTTGGCTCTTTATTACTTACCATGACTTTTTTTTATTTTTAATTTCTTTTCCTCTATTTTATTTTTAAAAAATTATTAATCTAATTTTATTTTTAATTCCTTTATTACTTAATGAGTTATTTTGGGCTCTTTCAGAAATAAAAGGACTAAACTGATGGCCCCATCATATTGAAATTCTCTGTTCCTTGTGTATAATCCCACCCCTGCCCTCCATCTGTTGGGATTTTCCCCTTTTCAGTGGCTCCCACTTGCACTGGAGTTACATTTTTTTATATACTTGAAGGCAATTGTGTTTGGGCCTTAAAATAACTTGTATTTAAGGAGAAAATCTCCACGCTTGGCTGTTTTATAACTATTTACCATGTGATTGGGGGTTTATGTAAGGCTGGGAATGGGATATAGCAGCAAAGGCCTTTGAATGAGATTTTAAAGTGTATTCATTGGCAAGTCTGTCAACTGCAAAGTATTTCAGCAAATAAAGGTTTCAAAAGGTCAAATTCCATGGTGTAAAGGTCCTTACAGAAGGATTTAGCTCAGTTCTGAGGCAGAGTTGTGGTCAGTTTGGTACCCAGACTGGTTTTAGGAATTCCAGCTATTCCCCAGGTTGTGGGCTGAGCCAGGAGCCTTGGCAGGGATCGAGGGTAATTAGTGACTGAGACAATCAAGCCCAGCTTTAATCTACCTCAGATTTCAGGGTTGTTGCTGTGCCCATCACTGTCTGAGCTTTCCTGCATCCGTGGGACATGTTGGGATAATGAGACATTTCCAGATGACTTTAACTGCATAAAACCCTCTGATTTCACAGGGGCTGCTGCCAGAACTGAGCAACTTGATCATTTAGTCATGAAATTAAAATGATATCCCAGTCAAGCTTTAGGACTTTAGGCTTTTGGGGCTTTAGCTGACTAGCAGTGGGTGCCTGGCTTAACATCCATAGGTCACATTCCAAACTCTTCAGAAAGAGACGGATCTTGGTTGGCTGATTTTGAGGAATAAGAGTAAAAAATTAAAAAATAAAATAAAATACCTTTTTTTTTCCCTACTTAGGGAAAAACCCCACTATTTTGAGTCTGCTGGTCCTTTTGGAACTGTGTCCTGTAAAGGTTAAACAGGACGTGCTGAGATCTGATTATTCAGGATATTTAATGTGATACAGAACAATCTGGACCCAGGTCTCAGTACAGCTGAGTTCATCACTGGAGAATGTGTTTGCAAAGTGTATTTACAAGATCTCTGGAGGGACAGAGGGCTGTGTAGGTGGGATGGAGCAGTAACAGCTTGTCTCAGGTGTTGCAGATCTTGCCATGGGCACCAGCAGCTCAGTTTGCTTAATGAACCTGCAAAATAAGGTGAATCATTCACTGAGCTGCCAACCATGTCTTCCCAGAGATAAAACTGGGATTTGTGCTTGGAGAGACTCCCAGGGGGAATTGCATCCAGTCAGCCAGGCTTGGATGGCTCATGAGTTGTATGAAGCTGGAGTTTCTGATGCAGTTTTCGGTGGGTTTTTAGGGTGCCCAAGGCCCAAAGTGCTTCCCAGTGGTGCTCCAACTCCTGCCTGTGAACTTAACAACTGTTAGTAACATGCTCCTTGTTTGATCTTTTTTGTGTTCAGTGTGTACAGGACTTTTTCCACGTATTTTTCCTCCTTTGAGCCTTTTCTGGTCTTTGTGTGATTCTGCTGCAGTTCTGTCTCCTCTCCTGGTGTTTGCCCTCCCTCGAGGAGCTTCACTGTGGCTGTAAAAGCCATAACATGGAGCAGTCCAGGGGCAATGACCATGTGTTCTACTTTGAGATCTCCTATTAAAGGGAATCTTATTGCAATTACTGTCATTATTTATAGAATAGTTCAAAGTGCACCGTGTCTGTAGTTAAGTAACATCTGCATATTTATGTTACACAACCTGCAGTGAGGTCAGTAAACACGTAATTGATGTTGGTAGATGCTCTTTTGATCTCAAATCTTTCGGGAAGTATAAACACCAATGCTAAGAATGTCATCTTGAGATTCTTGCAGTGTTTGTATTTATTGGTGGTAAGCACCTGGAACATCTAATCTGCTTTTATCAACCCCACAGTTATTTACACACGCACTTCAAAATGAATGTTTGAGTGACTGTGCTTGGAGTCATGCAGAGGGGAGGCACTGAGCCTGCAGGCTGCCCCTGCACAGGGCTTGTGAGCTGTGGTGGGCTGGGAAAAGCTGCCTGTTCAGCAGTCTGGGTGCTGTTTACCCCAGATGGTGGATCTGGATCCCTGAGCTCTGAGTCAAAACCTGCCATCAGCCCCTGGTGCCTGGAGTGACCCAGGGCAGATGGTTCAGAGCTTCAGGTGGGTGGTGTTGGCTCTTTGGCTTGGGGAGTCTGAGTATTTCACTGGCTGGGTTTGTTTGAGGAGGAATTCTCCCATTTCACACTTTGTGACTCGCTGAGGGTTTGGTCTCAGTGACCTGCAGCCGCTCTCCTGCCACGGTGCTGGGACACCACCCAATGTCACCATCTCTCCTTTCCCTCCAACAGGTTACCCCTGTTCCAAGCCAGTGCTTTTGCATTCTTAGCACCTGCCAGAGCAATACTCTCTCTGGAGAAGTGGAAATGTAATAACACAGGTAATTGTCGTTTGTGCTTGTTCAGGGTGAGGTGACAAATGGCCCAGATCACTTAAAGTGCAGCAGCCAAACCCTCTGAGGGGGAAACTGGAAGTGCTGAGGAGGGAATAGGAAAAGTCTCTCCTTTTACAATGTTAAACTTTCTGCCTTAGAAAAAGATTCCTAAAAATGTCCTTGTGGAGTTCTATTTCTGGGGACTTTTTAATATTAAAAAAATGTTGTCAAAAGAAATCCAACAGTAGCACAAAGTAATTCTTCTGTTACATTTACATTCCGTAAATGTTCCTTCCCAATATTTGGAAATAGCAAGTTCAGTCGAATCCTTTGAAGTTGAGTAGGAGGAAGTTTGATGTTCAGCATCACCTCAAGACCAGGATTTTTCCCAGTTTAAGTCATACCTGACAGGTTTTGACAAGATTTGGATGTTCATTTGAGCTCTTCCTTTGCTAATGTCATCATCCTGAAAGGTTTTAACTTCAGAGGGGAAATATGCAGTAAAGCTCATTGGGATGGGGGGTTTGGCTTTAAATTAGGTTAGAAACTGAAGTGGAAACTCCTCTGGCAGTTTTCTTTTTAATGGGGTGTGGTTATTCAGTAACAAGGCTGTGGGCAGCCCCATAGAGAATCAGGCTGCTTGTTTCTACCTAAAGTTCTTCCCAGGGCTCTTTTGGATTCTCTAATAATTTAATTTATATTATCTATATGTTTGAGCATCTCTGTTGGTTCACATTCAAAATGTGCCAGTAGCTGAATACACATCTTGTCAAAAGAAAATCCTGTCTGATAACCTTGGATGGCAAAGCCATTTTCCCACTACTCCAGCCTTTCCAAAAGGGCTTTGCTGCATCTTCCTCTTGGACCTTTTCACCTTCAAAAGATGCCAGTTGGGCATGGGTCAATTCATTCAGTGGGTGACCTAAATTGGTGGAGTTGGAGTCTGTGATTCCAGTGTGCACTTGAGTAATTCTCCATTCATCTGTTTATTGGAGTGGGAAGGGAATCCCCAATTGACCTTCCTTCCTGAAAGTTAGGATTTGTTCCCCCTTTGGTGCTGTGGGTGGAATGAAGGGTTGGTTCTTGGGGAATGTGAGCCTGGTGCTACTTCATTTGTAGCACTGCAGAGCTTGTTCTCCGTGTAAATCCAGGCTCCTTTGCCAGACCCAGCATGAGGAGGGGTTTATTTTGTAGGAAATGATGGCAGAGTGGCTGAGGAATAAATAAATGCCTGTGTTTTCTTGTCTTCTCTCTGTAAGATATAACAGGTACAAACGGGACAGCAGAGCTGCTGCACACTGAGCACATCTGGTATCCCCGGATCCGAGAGGTAATGTGGGAGTTGCCTTTAGCTGTCCCTCTGTCCAGTTCCAGTTAAGTTTCTCACCCAAACATCTGTGTGTCCTTGTCTTTAAGTTGGTAATTTCTTCTTTCACTGCGATTTCCATTTGAATATATCCCTTTACTCATCTCATGGAAGTCTTTCATCTTTCCAACCTGTTCGTACTGGACAGCAAATACCAGGAGTTAGTTACCACATTCCAAAAGACGTGCAGTGAAATGCTCAAGTGAGATGAAAACTCTTCTTGTGCCTCTGATTTGCGCTCATTGGCAGCAGTTCAGCTGCTGCCAGACCTGCTGCCTGCTGGCCCTGTGCAGTGGGCTGGCCCCTGGAAGATGAACCCACAGTTTAGCAAAGCTGGGTCATCCCCCAAGAGTTTTTAAGTTGGAGACTCTCCTGATAAGATGTTGATTCTCCGAAGAGACTTGCAGAGCTCCCCCAAAGTCCATCTCCACTCTCAGCCCTGCAGGGCCCAGGATGAGGGTTGTGCCACGCTGAAGTGGTAGATAGCCAGGTCCAAATGAGGGCGTGTGTCATGGAATTTATCTCCCATCCCGTTGCTTTGGGCTGCCAACTTTTTCTTAATTAAAAACAACCCCTCTCTCTTCCCCATGTTCAAACCATAGCTACATCCTGCCAAGAGCCCTGCAGCCAAGAGGGCTGACAGTCTCCTGAGACCACAACGCTGCTCTAATCCAGCTTCTAAGGAGCACTTGTGACCAATGCAGACACACTCTGCCCCTAGGAGCTTTAGGAGCATCACCTCGTGGCGCACCAACCCTTGCCGTTCGATCTGAGAGCTTAAAGGTTAGCCTGGACCCCAGGTCTCCTGTCTGACAGTGTGATGTGCTTTCCACACAGCTTCCAGACTGGCCCACTGGTCTGTTGTGTAATAGTTTTGTGGAGAAAAAAAAAAAACAATCATAAGTGTTATGCTTAAGCAATAAGTCACTTAAACATAATGAGCTGTTTTATGACGAAAAATATACTGAGTTCTTCTGTGTCACTGAATTCTTTTTAAGTGCAGTTTGTAATCCAGAGCAGAAAAAGAAACGCTTTGGCTTTGCCTGTCAGAGGGGACTGAGGTGGCTCTTTGCCCTTGTTGTGTGTTCAGATCCAAGGTGCCATCATCATGTCCTCCCTGATCGAGGTGGTGATCGGACTGCTCGGCCTGCCCGGGGCCCTCCTGCGCTACATCGGCCCCCTGACCATCACCCCCACCGTGGCCCTCATCGGCCTCTCCGGCTTCCAGGCTGCTGGGGAGAGAGCTGGCAAGCACTGGGGCATTGCCATGCTGTAAGTACTGCTGGGGGGTGCTCCTGGCTCGGGCCAGAGGGGCCTGTTGGTGAGTTGTCATGTGGGAGTGTTGGGGGAAAGGCTGGGGTCAGCTCGGCTGCCAGAGGTGGCATTGCAGTGGTGCCAGCAGGGAGGGACACAAAGGTGGCATTGCAGTGCTGCCAGCAGGGAGGGACACCAAAGGTGGCATTGCAGTGGTGCCAGCAGGGAGGGACACCAAAGGTGGCATTGCAGTGGTGTCAGCAGGGAGGAACACCAAAGGTGGCATTGCAGTGTTCCCAGCAGGGAGGAACACCAAAGGTGGCATTACAGGACTTCCATCAGGGAGGAACACCAAAGGTGACATTGCAGGAGTCCCCATCAGAGAGGAACACCAAAGGTGGCATTGCAGGAGTCCCCAGCAGGGAGGAACACGAAAGGTGGCACTGCAGGACTTCCATCAGGGAGGAACACCAAAGGTGGCATTGCGGTGGTGCCAGCAGGGAGGGACACCAGAGGTGGCATTGCAGGACTCCCCAACAGGGAGGAACAACCTGTGCAGGAATAGGGATGTGGGTGGGTCTGGGTGAGGTCAGCTGGCACTTTGGCAATGACAGCAGCAACTCAGTTGCCCAGAGAAGCTGTGGCTGCCCCACCCCTGGAAGTGTCCAAGGCCAGGTTGGACATGACTTGGAGCAACTCAGAATAGTGGAAGGTGTCCCTACCCATGATGTGAGGTGGAACTGGGTGGGTTTTGAGGTCCCTTCCCACCCAAACCATTCTGGGGTTCTGTGTTTCTGTGACCTTGAGGAGGCAGGAAAGGACAATAACTGAAAGGTGTGGAGAGCAGAATTTTGTAAAGCAGGAGTTGGTCTGGGAGCCACTGGCTGGATTGGCTTCAGTGCTATAAGAAGAGATGATTTAGCAAAACACCAGAGAGATGAGTGACCCATTTGTATTTCTGGTTTTGTGTTTGTCTCAGCAGGCAAATCCCATTGGTGGTACTGGTCCCTTTGTCCCTGGGACTGCTTTGCTTACCTGTGTCCAAGAGAAATCTGTGTGATGACAGGGAGCAGCAAATATTTCCATAAATGCCATCAGTGGATGAGCCAGAAGTAGAGAGATTTCTATTTAGTGGACAAAAAGGCTTTTCGAGGGAATTTCAGGGCCTGGGGTGTGTGCCAGGGAAATTAAAGAACTGAGATCAGGGGGATAAAAAGGAATAGCTGAGAAAAACGAGATGAAGACAAAAGCTTCCCATGAGCTGGATAACCAGCCAAATAAGGCTGGAAAGCAAATTTTAGGGAGAAGGGAACTGGCTGAAGCAGTTGCTACAGTCAGTGTTCAGCACCCAACTGTGCTGGCTCTGGGAGGAAGGAATGCCTTGATGAGATCAGATTCTGATCTGACTAATCTGTTTGCACAGTTCTTTGAACATGCAAAGTATTCTGTAAGTGCAGCTTATGATTAAAAGGGCTCTTTAATTCTCTTTTATCTTGGATGGGAGCATCGTGAATATTTTTGTAATTCTATTATGTTAAGCAGCTGATCCAAAGGAACGTTTTATTTGCCTGTAAAACAAATTCCCTGCAAGTTGGGACTCCCATGAAATGAATGATCTTGGGGTTGGACATGGAAACGTGTAATTCAACTTGACATTTTGCAGATGGAAAAAAGCAAATCAATTTAGGAGCAGCATTTAAATATTACCCAGTCAATAAGTATTTCTGGCTTCTGGCAGAGCGAAAATGTGGGTTGTTGGAAATAACTCCCTGGCCGTGGAGAGCCTCTCAAAAGTGACTGTGAGCTCTACAAGATGTGGCTCTTGAAATTGTACTGAGATAAAAGCCCTTCCTTCAGCATCACCTGTGGGAGAGCTGGGACCTTCTACAAGTGCTATTGGATAATATTCCCAGTTTCCTAAACAGTTTTCTGACCTCTCTTGTTCTGCAGGAGCCAAGATGGAATAATTTAATCCATAAAACACATCTCATCATGACCTGTAAAAAGGGAAATTATTCCTGAATTGGGCTTTTTATCTGGTGAATAAAAGTTTTGGGATTTAAGGGATTTGGGGATATTTTACAGACTGGCAGGAAGCCCCTCTGCCATGGAGCCAGTGTAATGTTAATTGCAATAATATAATAGTAGTCTGGTTTTTACAACTCTGTGCTAAATAAATCAAAATACAAAGCTACCTGTCCTCGGGGAGGGGAGCCCATCTTTCCATAATGGACTTTGGGAGAGATGCCAAAGTGTTTCCTGCAAGGAAAAGGTGCCTTTCATTCAACACTGGGGCTGTAAATGCCCCTCCTTGTGCTCTGTGTTCTGGAGACTGAGGGAGAATAAAGCTGGTTTGTGTGTGACACTGGAACTGAGCTGGGACAGAGAAGGGAGAGAGGCTGAAAATCTGCTTTTTTTTAAAGTCAGCTGATAAAAACATAATCTCAGATTTCAGGGAAGCTTTGCTTCTTCAGACAGCTCAGTCTTTGTGAGGCCTTTTCAGAGCAGAGCTGGGGTTGGCTCCTTCAGAAATGAGCAACGTGCCCTGGCTTCTTATTTTACATTGCAGTGGGGGCTTATTTTAGCTGTAAAAATGGATTTTTAACATGAAGAGGAGCTTGGCAGTTTCAGTGAGGGGGGGAAATGCATAATAATTAAGCATCTAAAAGTGGTGAATGTGATTGCATCAAATCTTGGTTTTTTGGGCTCTATTTTGCTTCATTTGCAGCTGTTCAGATGCAAATACAAAAAAGAAAAGGGTTCTCAAGAATAGAAGAAATAATTTCCCTCACAGAAAATTTTCAAGTGCTTTTGAGTTTTATGCAAATTTTGAGATTTAAAGATTATTGTATACAGGCCTTCAGTTTTCCTTGTTTTCAGCAATTTTGGTCCTTGCACTCAGCAGACCTGGAGCACAGGTAGAGTTTGGGAGGAAAAGAAGCAGGAGCACAGAGCAGGAATGGCTGGAAATCTCCCTTCAGCCCAAATCCTTTTCCTAGTTCATTTACCTGTTTGGTGCTGGCTGTTTTCGCAGCACTTCAGAATCCAAATTGTGTTGTTTTGGCCTTTGTGGAATAATAATTTATTTAAAATTACGTTCTCTTAAAACACCTTGTCTCGTGCTAAATTGAAAATGTACATTTATGTCTTGTGTCTGAAGAACCTGAGCAGGTTAATGCTGGGAGGGATTTATAATATATTGGTGCTAATGACATGTCTTTTTTGTCCCACCCTCCTCCTCCTTTTTTCTCAGGACTATTTTCCTAGTGTTGTTGTTCTCTCAGTATGCCAGAAATGTCAAATTCCCCTTACCCATTTACAAATCCAAGAAAGGATGGACAGCATACAGGCTGCAGCTTTTCAAGATGTTCCCTGTAAGTCCTTGAACTTGTTCTTCACTTGGCAAAGAAAACCCTGATTTGTGTTTCAGGGGGTTTTTTATCTCGGTTTTGATTTTTCTTAATAATACAATAGATCACAAAGGTGAGGTAAAAGCTTAAATGGATTTATTGGAAACTAAGTGGCTCTTTGGCCACAGGAAATATTCTCATTGCCAGATCCCATTCTGATGTCTGATGGGGGGTTGTTGGAGTGATGAAGATCGTGGGGGGAAGGGAAGAGGGAGAGAAGAAGGGATGTTTGTGGATGCAGGGAAAGCCTAAACTGAGCCCTCCAAAAAGGGATGGTGAAATCGTTATCGTCTCATTTTACCAAAGCAGTTCTCAGTTCCCCCATGAAAGACTCCTTTTCATTCCTCTGGTAAAACTGACACTAATTCCCGAGTTTGTTAAAGTGCCCACTTGGAGGCTTTCCCATTTGTTAAGGAGAGGAGAGACTTGCTCTAATTCCAGAGCTTTTGTAACAGCACCTTCCTTGGGGGCCGGTGGGGGGGAAGCACCCAAAGGATCTGTTCCAGCATTTGCTGCTTGTTCAGACCTCAAACCCCACCCAGACCCAGGGGTGACAGTGTTTGTTCCACGCAGGAACTGCTGGTTGATAATTTGCTGCCGAGAGTTGGTTTTAACAGCTTGACTTCTCCTCTCTCCCAGATTATTTTGGCAATTCTGGTCTCGTGGCTGCTGTGCTTCATCTTCACGGTGACAGACGTGTTTCCCCCGGACAGCTCCAAGTACGGCTTCTACGCGCGCACGGACGCTCGCCGGGGGGTGCTGCTGGTGGCCCCCTGGTTCAAGGTCCCCTATCCCTGTAAGTTGGGCTGCTCTGAGGGGCAGTTTTCCCAATAATACCCCCGTTTTCCCAATAATACCCCCGTTTTCCCAATAATACCCCTGCGAGCGTCAGTTCTCCTGTTTCAAAAGTGTTGCTGTTTCAGTGATAAATTCCGAGGAACTTCAACAGCAGTTGTGGATGGGCCGTGCCTGGAATTGTCCAAGGCCAGGTTGGAGCAACCTGGTTTAGTGGAAGGTGTCCCTGCCCATGGCAGGGGGTGGCACTGGATGATCTCCAAGGTCCCTTCCCACCCAAACCATTCCATGTTCTTGCCCATCTCTGGCAGCTCCAGCTCCGTCCCAGCAGCAGCACTGGGGGTCTCAGACCCTCCTCAGCTCCAGCCCAGAGGCAGCTGAAAGACTTGGGATTAACCTGTCACTGGAATGGATTTAAATGCCAGGGAGTGGGGAAAGATGGGATTTTGGGAAGGCCCTGGCACAGGTTGCCCAGAGAAGACCTGAGAACCCCTTCCAGGGCATAAAGGGGCTCCAAGAGCTGGAGAGGGACTTGGGACAAGGGATGGAGGGACAGGACAAGGGAGAATGACTTCCCACTGCCACAGGGCAGGGCTAGATGGGATGTTGGGAAGGAATTCTTCCCTCTGAGGGTGGAGAGGGGCTGGGATGGAATTCCCAGAGAAGCTGTGGCTGCCCCATTCCTGGAAGTGTCCAAGGCCAGGTTGGAGCAACCTGGAACACTAGTGGAAAGTGTCTCTACCCATGGCAGGGGACAGAACTGGTTGACCTCCGGGGTCCCTTCCAATCCAAACCATTCCAGGATTCCAGCACACACTGATCTAACAACAGCCAGAGGGGGGCTGATGGTTTTTTCTCGTTTTCCCCTTTCATTGATACCTTAAGGTCTCCCCCAAGAAAGGCTTTGTTTCTGACACTGGAGTTTGTAGGAGGCACTTGCAGGGTTTATCTGGGCAATTCTTGATAACATTTTATGACTCTCCATAAAACGTGGGTTCCCAGTCCTGGCTGCCCAGTCCTTGGCAGTGCTGTTGGTGTTATGCAACGCCAAGGTCACGTTATTTCAGCTCCCGTAGAGCCACTGGAGTCATTGAGTCGTTGTCTAGAGAATCACTATTGTGTGGAGGTTTTCCCAGCTTACTGCACTTCCCTGCTCCAAACACACCCATCCCTGAATTGGCACCACTGTTAATGACAAAAATGTCCTGACTTGCCAGAGTGGGGTTGGAATTGGGCCGATGGGCAAGTCAGAGAATGCCAGTCCCTGCTTATCAAAGTATTTACAAGGGAACACCAAACACTTCAGTTGGATACTTGTATTCTTTTATTGGCCATCTCTGAGTTTAAAGCTGTTAAAGGCTGGTTTTATGGCAGGAGATAGAGTTACACAACTGGTTCGCCTTGTGCTGCTCAGAAATTAAGGGGTAATAATAAAATAATATAAATTGTTAGGAGTATCACTCCATTGTCATGAGGCACCTTCATTGTGGTTTCCCATATGCTTTGGTTCTGATTAGTTCTTATAAGAAACCACTTCTAAAGCAGATGATGATGAATAGAAGCTTTTGGGAAAGAAGAGGAGGAAAACTTCTCCACCGTGATTAGACCTTTCCTATTTGTGAACTTCATTCACGGTTGTGTGATTTCAGGCTCCTTTTGTTGCCAGAGGCTCATCTATTTCAAAGAGATAAAAGCATCGAGGCAATTGCTGTGGAAAACCTGCCAAGCTTTTCTGCAGGCTTAAATTAATCTTATTTTCTCTACTACAAAAGTTTGGAGCGGGGAGGTGTTTGTGCAGTGATCAGAGCTGGTTGTGGCCCATCCTGTTTGATAACCCAAACTCGTAACCAAAGGCTGAGTTTTTGGAGCAGTAATAATTAAGTGGCATCTGCCTCGCTGACCAGAATTGTTTTCCCACAAGCTGTAGCTCAAATTCCTGCCTTCTGAACAGGAGGAATTCTTTTTGGTGGGGTTTTGTGGTTCTTTAGGACTTTTCCAAGCAGGATCAAAGCAGTTGGTTTGGCGGATTTTCCTTTGCTTCTTTCATCTACGTGGACTTGCCAGATTGTGTTTGAGTGAAGGGAGCTTGTTGTTTCCATTAAAGATGGATAAATAGTGTGGCCATGGGCCCAGGGCAGGGACTGTCCCCTGTGCTGGCACTGCTGAGGCACCTGGAATCCTGGGGCAGTTCTGGGTCCCTCACAACTAGAAGGACATTGAGGGGCTGGAGCATGTCCAGGGAAGGGAACGGAGCTGGGGAAGGGGCTGGGACACCAGGAGTGACTGAGAGAGCTGGGGGGGCTCAGCCTGGAGAAAAGGAGACACAGGGGGGACCTTCTGGCTCTGCAACCCCCTGACAGGAGGGGGGAGCCGGGGGGGGTTGGGCTCTGCTCCCAGGGAACAAGGGACAGGAGGAGAGGGAACGGCCTCAAGCTGTGCCAGGGGAGGATCGGGTTGGATACTGGGGAAATTCCTTCATGGAAAGGGCTGTCCAGCCCTGAGCAGGGGTGGAGTCCCCCTGCCCAGGAAGGATTTAACACCCCTGTGGATGTGGCACTTGGGGACACGGGTCAGTGGTGGCCTTGGCAGTGCTGGGGGAATGGTGGAACTTGATGATCTTAGAGATCCTTTCCAAGCCAGACAATTCCCTGATTCCGTGAAATGGCTGTATTTTTTTGATACCTGAGTTGTTTTTGGGCAGGGGAGATGTCAGTGTTGTTCTCCCCACAGTTCAGTGGGGGCTGCCCACCATCTCTGCTGCCGGGGTGATCGGGATGCTCAGCGCCGTCGTCGCCAGCATCATCGAGTCCATCGGGGACTACTACGCCTGTGCCCGGCTGTCCTGTGCTCCTCCTCCACCCATCCATGCAATAAACAGGTCTGGCCAAACCAGAAACGTTTGCAGTGTCTTCAGCTACTTGGGTTTTTATGGTTTTTTTCCCCTTGGGATAAGACAGGAATGTGCTCCGAGATGAAACGTTACAGTTTGGTCAAACACGAGGGCCAAGAAGCTGAAATACAAGATGCAATTGTCACGTAGAATTATTTTGTTGCAAATGGAGTATTGGAATCCCAGTCCTGTTCTTGCTGGAGTCTGTGGAAGTTGATAGCACGGTTTCCATAGGGACAGAATTCTAAATCAGGTCTGGAATTTGGGGTGGTTTGTCAAATTCACCTGAAATGCAGCTGGAGAAATAAAGAGCAGCTCTTAAGTTTGACTTGAATTATGTTGTAATTTCCTCAGTTTAAGAATGTGGGTATCTAAGACTCAGAAAACAGAACTCAAATGGGTTTTCCAGGTTTGTTGGAGCTGGAAACATGAATTACAATAATTCCATAATGGAACAGATGCCCTGACAGCCCCCCTGCAACCCTGAGCCATAAAACACCCTCTGGAGGAGTCTGTGCTCAGCAAACTGACTCTTGGTTTCTGTTTGTGGTTCACAGGGGGATTTTTATCGAGGGTCTCTCCTGTGTTCTGGATGGGGTATTTGGGACAGGGAATGGATCCACCTCTTCCAGCCCTAACATTGGTGTCTTGGGCATCACAAAGGTATGTGCTTTACCCTGAGCTCTCAGGGACTGACTTCACCTCCTCAGGTGTATCCCTTACCTTCATGTTTCACAGCATGATCCTCTTCCAGGAAACCATTCTGCTCGTGCAGACAAACTTCACACATCACTCTGAATCCACCTGCCTGTCTGTACCAGCTGTTCTCAGGTGGAAATGCATTATTCTACATCAGGGCCTCAAAGATCTTTTTATTCAGAGTAAAAGGCAGTTAGAACCTGCAGAAAGCAGATGCTGCCAAATAAACTGTCCCTTGGAAAAGCAAGGCAGCATTCCAGGGCTCTGGGGTGGTTTGAGTGAGGCATAAACACTCTAAACTATGTAGAAATTGGTACTTTTTGGATGTCTTGGCTCTGAAGGCATCAGTAGGGAAGTGACTGTTTTTAATGCCTCACTTGAACACAGTAAAGTGCAATTTGTGGTCCTTGGGCTTTATCTACGTCTGTACCAGGACGTTACACTGACACAGAGGCTGCAGTCAAGGTAATTTGAGAGTTAAATGTACCCTAAATGTTTGTTTTTAAGGCACTGACTAAGGGGTTACGTATTTTTGGGGGTGTCAATCAACAAAATATATTGAGGAATCCCTTTGTTCACACGTGGGACTGGATGAGTGCCTTGAACTGGGAGGCCTTGGGCTGCAGAGAGATTTGCTTGATATTGTTAATTTAACCTTGTTAAGAAATACCAGCAACATTGGTAGCAGTAATTTATGTTGTAAATTGGTACATCTTGTTGTGGATTTTGCATGGAAGCCATAAATCCTTCATGCACATGAGGTGGAAAATGTGTGTTCTGTGCTTCCAGTAACTCATCCCTCTGACCTAATCCAGTGTAAATTATATATTTATCTCCACTCATTTGTTTATCATCTACCACCATTTGTTTCCTGCACAAGGGATTATTCTTTTGGGTTTAGGATGAAATATAACACTAACAGCACCATCTGCTGTCTGTACCAGTTGCCATTCAGCTGCTGATGGAAATTTCCTAGAAGAAATCTTAGTCAGAAAAATCCTTAAAGAAAGGTTTATTCTGTTGTGCTTCCTTTCTGGTGTTATTCATGGGGGTTGATATGAATTAACAACACTTTTCTATTAACAGCCCACAGAAATGAGTGGGCATTTTGCTTTGGGACAGTAAAAAATGAATGTCTGATGGCAGCTGAAGCAGGGTTGACCACAGTTGGTCTGTTCTGAGCATGTGGTGGAGGAGTGAATGTGCCTTACCCAGAGTGGCACAGCTGGATGGCTCTGCTCCAGTGCTTCCTCTGGCTTTCCTGCCTGCACACTCATTCCTAAATTCCTAACAATATTTCAACTTCATTTCTGCCTAAATAGATTTTTGGCATGTGGATATTCTGTTGTTTATCTGGGAGGGGAAAATCCTTAGTGCTGCATCATCCTGGTGATCCCATTCTGTCATTTCAAAAGGCATTTCCCCTCCTTGAAATTGGTATAGAATAACACTTAGAACTTAAATTTCAGGCTCCAGCTGGATGTAAAGACTGCACAATCTCTGAGCTGGTCTGTGAGTTTTATTTGATGAGAGGAGCATCAATTAACTCTGATCAGTTGGGGCTGAAGTCTGGGCAGCTCATGCCATAATGTGGTGGTGAACTGGAGGTACCAGGTCCCACCTTGTGCACTCCCAAATAATCACCTTCAGTGTGTGTGCTGGGAGTAAATCTGCAGGCAGAGCTAAGTGCTGCCCAGGGTGTTTTCAGCAGCTTTCCAGAGGAGCTTAATTTGTTTGCCTTGCAGTGATTGAGCATTTGCATAAATAAGTGTCACCAGCGTGTGGGTCTCTAAACAATTTGCCTCTTTCATGCAGGAAGATAATTTTAGAGCAAGATATTGGTGATACTTTATTTTAGAGCAAGATATTGGTGATACTTTATTTTAGAGCAAGATATTGGTGCCCCTAAGGAAAATGTCTTCGTAAGATAGAGAAAGGTGCAGGTTAAACTCTGTTGTAATTTAGTGAACTCCCCAATTTGCTGGTGTAGCTCCTGTTTGCAGGTGAACAGTCCCACCTGAGAGCTCAGCAGTGAGGAAAGGGGAGAGAGAAAGACCATTTTTCATGCCTGCTCTGTCTTGTATTTCTCATTTCACTCATTTAGCTCAGTCACACCTGGTCAACAAATTAATATCTCCTTCCCTCTGAACCTGAATACTCTGTACCAGGAGACCTGCAAAGGGCTTTGCCAGAAACCACCTTACAGTGTAAAAGGGGTTTTTTTGTCCCTGGGGCACCTCTTCTGGCACTGGAACAGTGTTAAAATATCAACTGTTCAGGTTTATCATCTACCACTGCAACACAGACAAACACTGCCTGAAGTTTGGATGCTTAAAATAAAACTGGGAAGGAAGTGCAGGCCCTTGGTTTCAGTGCCAGCACAGCCCTGATTTGCATGTGGAGTGAACTCAGGCCTGGCCTCAGAGGGGTTTTACAAAACCTTGGAAATCCCTCTCCTCTTTCCCCTCAACCACATCTTGCTGTGTCAGAGGGCAGCAACACATGGAATTTATTTGTTCCATTTCCCATCTCTCCCAGGTGTGGCCTCTCTCTCCTTGCTTTCTCTCTTGTAGCTGGGCCTGCACCACGTTTCACGGTGGTTGTGCTGTAGCATTTACACGTGGTTTTAAAGCTGACTTGGTGTTAACAAAACCCAAATTAAAGCAAGTTCTGTTAGGCTGGAGCACAGCCCTGTCCCAGCTGGGCCACTTGGAAAGGCTCTGCAGCCTTTGAGCCACCAACAAAAACACGCAGGAGGCTTGAGGAGAAATTTAATTGGAAAGGAAAATAACAAAATAAATTTCCAGGTGTGAAGCTGGACCAAGTGCAGACTTTTTCCAGTGTCTTTTCCTTTTTTCCCTGCAGGTTGGGAGTCGCAGGGTGATCCAGTATGGAGCTGCCTTCATGCTGCTCCTTGGGATGGTTGGGAAGTTCAGTGCCCTCTTTGCATCCCTGCCCGACCCCGTGCTGGGGGCTCTCTTCTGCACCCTCTTTGGTAATATGGACTTTACTCCTCTTTTTCACTCTAATTCTGTGTTTATATGTATTTTTCTATCTGTTTTTGAAGGAAAAGTCTATCTAAAAGCTGATCTTTGGGGTTTTTTTTTAATGTAGGGATGATTACAGCTGTGGGTCTGTCGAACCTCCAGTTCATTGATTTAAACTCCTCTCGGAATCTGTTTGTCCTTGGATTTTCCATTTTCTTCGGGCTTGTCCTCCCAAGTTATCTCAAACAGAACCCCCTGGTCACAGGTACGTGTTCCTGCTCCCCCACACAAAACCTGCTTTTCCCTTCTACTCACATGGGAAGTACAAACAGGTACAAAGGAATGGAAAGGTCAGTAAGAGAAAAACCAAAGTATTTGGAGACAATAAAAGCTGTAGATACAGATAAGCTTTATATGTGTGTGTATATATATATATTCTCTGAGGAGAATTAATTGGGATGTTGAGACCTGAATTAAATGTTTCAGTGGGATACAGCTGAAGTTTTCCTGCTTTTTCTTGGTACTCCATAGAGGAATGAAAGGGGGCAAATACCAGGAAAAAAGACAAAAAGGGTGAATCTGAGATGTAAATGATGTTAAAAGACTTAAGGGGAAACACCAAGGAACAGTTTGGGAGGGAGGGATTTTTTTGGGGGGGGGTGAATTTTTTTGTCACTGCAGATACATGTTCTGAATGGGAACTTTAATTTTAATGAACTCCAGGCTGTTAATCAAATTGTAGCTTTGGGAAATCCATGGGGAAGGTTTTCTGGTTTAGTATTCCCCTCTCAGCAGTGATCATGACATCCTGTGTCATCAGAGGTGGGCTCTCTAAGGAATATTTCACTGGTTTGGGGTGTTTTTAAAGGAAATATTAACTGACAGTATTTAGCTGTCGCTTCAGACCCAGATTTAAGGGCATATCTGTCCTACTTTAAGTGGTTCACAAAGCAGATAGTCCAGGCAGAGGTGGGTGATCACACACTAATAGAATGTTCTGCCATGAACTGATGTTTTCTTGCCCTTTTAAAAAGTAAAGATTTATAAAAAGAGTTACTTCAATCCCACACCCTTTTACATTTTGGACGTTTCTCTTTTCCATTTTATAGTTTTCTAATAATAAAAACATATATATATATAAAAAAATCAGTAGTTTAAATTAGCTGTGTCTGCAGTAGACTCTCAAATGGTGCTTTGTGACATTTTTATGAGCAGCTGAAAGTTCATGGAGTTACATTTTGGGGCAGAATGTCCCATGGGGGGCTGTGTTAGGTGAAGGTTCTTCTGCATTAATTCCCACACGTTTTCCAGAGTCCTGTTTGAACAAATCCCTCACTGAACTTGGCAGGATGTGTATATGCGTGATAAAAATGCCAGAAGGTCAGTGTTTGTGCCTGTTTTTTGCAGGAATAGCAGGGATTGATCAGGTGCTGAACGTCCTGCTCACCACAGCCATGTTCGTCGGGGGCTGCGTCGCCTTCATCCTGGACAACACCATCCCAGGTCAGCACTGGGCCTGTCCTTATCCTGATGTCATGGTTTTAGAGCCCAAAATCCAATTCCTGATTCTTAGCCCCCCTCCCACATCTCAACTCAGTGTGAGATGGGTTTTCCAGGCACCACACAAGACTCAAAATGGGGGAAAAGGAATATATTACAGTGACTGTACACATAAATAAATAGTATAATACATTACATACAATCTTAACTCTATCTCTACCATGACATACAATATTTACAATGGGCCAAATCTCTTCTCCCCTCCAAATAAAAGTCCAGGAGGGAAGAAGAAAAAGACCCCTTTCTCTCTTTGAGCAGCAAGTCTCTCTAGGGCAGCAGTGTCTCTTCTTCTCTTCCATGCAGCAGTTGCAGCTGGATCTTTACCAATGCACACGAGGGGGTCTCCAAACCCCTCAGTCCTCCGTCTTCAAACGAAGGGTCTTTCCGTGGGCTGCGTTTCCCAGGACAAAGGACGCATCACCACGGTCCTATCAGGAAGCACAGGGGTCTTGGTGACAGTCCTTATCTTCAGGGGACTCAGGCCCCTTTGCAGAGCTCCCATGCTCTGACTCAAGATGGCTGCTGGCTTCCTTGTAGCTGCAGCGGGAGGGAAGCCCAAGGTCATCCCCTCCACATTCCATCGGCCATCCTGGCTCAGCTCTCAGGAGGCCTGAGCTTCTTAGCTCCTCTCTCAGCAGTGCTGTAGCACCCTGAGGCTCTTCCATCTCCCTCCTCCTAGGAGGGGTCTCAAAGGAGTTTGGGGGAATTTTTGGTTGTTCAGTTCTTACCCCCGAAACTCTCTCTCTGCAGTGGCTTGGTTCTCTTTCTGCTGCTGCTTTCCTTTTCTTCAGACAACTCAGTGTCTGCCTCGGCTGCATGCCGGCTTCTGCTGCTGCTTGGGTTCTTCTCTGTTGGCTCTTTACCACTGCTCTCGGACGGTGCTGTCTCTGCTACTGCTCCGTCTGCCCACTCACGATGGAGAAAACTCCTTCAGCTTCTCGAGTCACAGACCTCAGTCCAGTCTAACACTGTTTCCGAGTTTCTATGACCCCAGCTGGGGGCTGGGGGGCCAAGGTCCCCCAGAGGGGCTTCGAGCCCCTTCCTCGTGGCTTACAGCATGGCCACTTCTTCTCGAACAACAAGTACAACCTTCTTTTCCGGTCCAGTGATATGTTTATATTTGGCAGGAGTGCTGATTGGGTCAAACCCCAAGGGTCACCACCCCCTGGGGGTTACCACTTTCTTAGCTTCAGGGGGAAAACCTGGTTCAAACCGCTACACCCGAGCAGCAGCTGCCTTTCTGCAGTCCCAGCATTCCAGGGAGGCAGGGAAACAGGGACACATCCCTGCTTTTGCTGTTCCCTCCTCACACCTGCAGGCCTGGCTTTGCCTGGTGTTATGGTTTGGAGCTGGCTCCCTGCCAAGTCTCCAAACCTTACCACAAGGAGTGTTCCCCCCCCACCCTAAACCAAGGGAGAAGAGGGGAAAAAACCCAAAAGAACCGAAAACGAGAGAGAGACAAAGTAATGTATATAAATATATTTACACTTATATTTACAGTTATATACAGTTGAAATATATATATAATTTCACAGGGAAAAGGGAAAGGGGAAGGGAAGAACAAAAACCAAAATAATATATATATATATTATCCCAATCAGTAGCCCAAGGTCTATCAACTAAAAGAATTAGCAGAGAATATCTTACTACTCTCCCTGGGACAACGGAGAGTCACGTTGGAGCGACTGCCGGCAGCCTCCGCCTCCCAAGGTCGACAAGGCCTCACCAGGCCTCACTCCCCAACCCGACAGACTCAACACAGGGAGATCTGCACCTCCAAAGCTGCCGGAAGGAAAGAGAGCCAAGGCCTTTCCTCCCTTCTTCTTATACCCCAGTTTACGTAAAAATTGTAGGGAATACCGGGTAAATCTGGGCACTTCCTTGGTTACAAGCTGGTCACCAAGGAAGGCCTAGGCCAAACTACCACACCTGGGAACCCCCGGAATCCTTTCCAGGCTGAGCCCTCTGTCCTATAAACATCCGAAAGAGCTGATCAAAACCAACCCACAACAGTCTTCAGAAGGCAGAGAAAGCTGGTTTTAAGATCTAAACCTGTTCCATTCAAGAGGAAAAATTTACCTCAACTTCCACTTAAAAAATTAAATATCGTATTTTTTCCCCTCTTCCTGCCTTTCTGAGGAGTCTGGAAGATCCTTTCAGAGCTCTGCTTAACGTGGTGGCTGAGCCTTGAGCTCTTCTTCCTTCTTTTAACCTCTGCTTTATTACTTGTATGTACTCATAAAGATATCCAGGAATATATATCTTATTTTTTTTCCCTTTTGTTTTGCCTTCTAGGAAGCCCTGAAGAAAGGGGAATACGGAAATGGAAGAAAGGGATCGGGAAAGGAAGCAAATCCCTGGATGGCATGGAAACGTATGATTTGCCTTTTGGCATGAACTTCATTAAAAAATACAGGTGTTTCAGCTTCCTGCCCATCAGCCCCACCTTCATGGGATACACGTGGAAAGGCTTCAGGAAAAGCAGTAACTGCAGGAGTTCAGATGAAGACTCAGAAGCTACAGTATAGCCTTAGCTGAAATTATATTATCTAGTTGTAGTAAAAGATGTATTTGCAGTTTCTTGCTGATTAAGAAGCATTAAAATATATGTTTTGTATATCTGCATTTAAATTCTGGAACCAGAGCTGAGACGGATTTAAAAAAAATGAAAAAAAAAAAGAAGAAGAATTAAAAACAAAAGGCTTTTCCTGTTGTGGGTGGTGGGAGCCAGGTCTGGTGTCTCTGGGGCAAATTCCAGGGGTTTGGGGGAGTTGTAGTACTTAAGTCTGTTTATTTTAAATGGGTTTAGGTCCTGGAAGTGTGTAGGTGCTATTGAAAAACTTTAATTAACTTAAATTTTGATTTTATTGGAGCCCTCAGTGCTGGCACTTGGCACAGTCATTGCTGGCAATGTTGGTTATGCCAGGAAATCTGAATCCATGGGAAGGGGGGGGGGGAGAAGAAAAGAAAAAAGGAAAAATAGTTACTTCTAGTCATGTCAAACCCCATAGATCTTGTTTTTTACTCCCTGATTTGCACATTCCATATTTGCAGTACCCTGAAAACTGGATTCAGTTGATAAAGGCAAATCATGAAAGTATTATTTTGAATTATCCACAATTCCAGTGGCACATCCAGTGCTAAGACAGGAAGTTTCTGCACTAACTTTGCCCATGAAAACCAGGACTGACTTCTGCTGGCTCAATGCTGCAGGAGCCACTTCTTTCACACCATTTCTCGTTTTCTGAACGTTTGCTTTTTCCACCTGGGATTCCCCCACCTGGGATTCCCCCACCTGGGATTCCCCCACCTAATCCCAGTGTCCAGGATTTCTACCCAGGGACACATGGCTGGAGTGTTACAGGAATGGGAAACTTGAACTTCCAGACAGGACTTGGTGGTTTTTTAGTTCAGTGCCTGCATCCAGCAAGATGTTTCCCAGACAGCAAGGGCAATTAATTGAGCAGTTAAGCAATTAACCCCCGTGTCTGTGCAGGGAATGGCAGGTGGTGGGAAGGCTGGCTGGGATCTGGGCACGAGGTTTTTATGGGATATCAACAGCTGATGCTGCACAAGCAGCTGATGTCGCGTTGCCTCTTCCTTCTCTCCTCGTGGGGCTTGTCCAGAGGCTCATTCCCGCTGGGAAGGGGGTTTGGAATGGCAGAGACACTACATCTGGCAGCCCCACCCATGGATGGTTTCACGGGTATCGGGTCCAATCAGGGCACCACTCAGAGATTTTTTTTTTCCTGGAATAGTCTCAGCTCTGATGTTTTGTGGGTGTTCACGCTCATCATGCATTCATAATTAACAGTTTTATTCCTGTTTAATGTTCTTACTATTGCAAGTTAGTTTTAGACTTCAGTGTGGCCCCAAAAAGCATTTTCAGCTGTGGAATCATCAGGGAAATGTCGTGTAATGTAATTTCAAGGCCAGTAATGCTCTACGGTGCTTGCGTTTTGTATTCCTGGAAAACCATAACAGTGGATCCTGTAATTCCCTGAGATATTTATCAAACTTTGACTACTGGACAGGAGCGCAGGAACTCTGTTTTCTCTGCTTCCAGGTGAATTTGTTCTGGGTTTTTGAAGCATGGAGGGGTTGGGGTGGGAGGGCAAGGCAGGAGCGTAACGGATCAGTACTGAGTAGTGTAGAGTCGGAATGATTCCGTGGATATTCTCAGCATGCCATGGCTGTTTCCAGAACCTATTTTATCCCGCTTTTTCCATATCCAAGCATGCCTTTGTTCCTGCTTCGGGGAACTTTCAGTAGTTTGCAGTCTCGGTGTCAGTTGGGCTGTCTCGAAAGCTGGTCGGAAGAGTTGTTGTGTAGTAGACGAGGTTTGTTTGCCTGTGAAACAAAGTCATTTTTCCTCATTTTTTAAACTTTCCCTCTCCAGGTAGTCAGGTGTTCCATTCCCACGTCCACCTGCACACAGTTGGAGTGCAGACACCTCTGATCAGTGGCACGAAGCTTCCAAATTTCCCAACTTTAAGTTCAACCAAAGATGTGTGGGAGACGTGGGGGAGTTAAAAATACATATAACAAAGGAAAACAAAAGCCACCTCTGGTGGTTGTACAACCCAAGGGGTTGTGGTGATGTAAAATGCCAAAGTTGGTTATCTTGTAAAAGTTGAGAAATGGAGAAAAAAACCTTTTTATTTCCAGTGGTGCCACTTCAGAGCAGCTGAGCTGCCCCATCCAGCAGGGAGGGACACCCCTGTTCCCAGGCTTTCCAACTCCTCCCCCAAGCAGTTTGGAGAACTTCAGGGAGAGGTGGTGATGAGAGGTTTGTCTCCTCTCACCCTGGCTGAGGTCAAGCCATGTGTGTTCTGTGTTGCCTCACCTGGGATTTGCTGAGACACTTCAAATTCCAGGGCACCGAATCCAAGGGGAGTTTTCCTCCTCCCTGGAGCAGAACACTCCTCCTTTCCTGCAGCACTGGAATGACTCTCTGAACAGGTGCAGTCCAGTTCTGTGTGTGACTGTTGGGTTTTGTTCTCTTGGTGACTTTGGGCCCTCCTGTGCCTGTTCCCCCTGGCTGAGGGTGGGGCAGCCCCATCCTGCCGGGAACACCGAGGAGCAGTTGAGGTTCTGGTCATTTTTGTAACCCTGTCTGTCAGTTGAGGACTCTCCACCTTATCCCGTGGGTGAATGGCTAAAGGTGGGCCTCAGGTTGGGAAAGGAGACCTGCTGGAGCCCCTGGGATGTGCAGGGAAGGGTCGGGATGGAGCCAGAGGCAGCACCTGGAGTGACCTGGGCTGAGGTGAGCGAGGACGGAGCTGATCACAGGTCCCTTGGGAAGAGAAGCTCCCCTTTCCCTTCCCGAGGCACCTGGACCCCCCCAGTGCTGCCAGTGCAAGGAGACCCGTTGCTTTTCCTTGTGAGGGAAATAACTGAATCTCCCCTGGGTTTGTGCAGCTGCAGCAGGTGATTTTGGGCCTTAAACCCTCCCACGGCCACTTTTCCTGGTCACTTTTCCACCCCAGTGGCTGCTGTGGAATTCCAGGGGAGCTGGGTGCCCGTCCTGAGCTGCTGAAAGGTGTGTTGGAGGATCAAGCTGCAGTTTGGAAAAGCATTTAAACACATCATGTCATGTTTGCCGGTGACATCCGGGTGTAACCTGACTGTAAATGCAATACTGTGTTTTCCTCTCTGTTTTCTTCCCTGCCTTTCAAACAGCCAAACTCCAACCACCCAGGGAAGGCAACACCTGAGAGGTGAGTTAAGAGGTGATTAGATGTTTCAACCATAAGAGGGAAGGGCAAATATTCATGGTAGAAATCTCATTTTGTCATATCAAAGACAGCATCAATGTATACAAACAAAGTAACTTGGGATTTTTGTAATTGATATTCTCTTGTATTTTTTTTAGGTTAAATTAAGGATTCTTGCTGACATGTTGAAACACGTTTTCTAAAGCAAATACTTGCAAATTATACCTATAGAAATTTAGGTTTCGTAGCTGCCGGCTATGACTGACTCACGTTGTCATATTAGAGGGACTTCACCTCGTACCTCGCTCAGAAAGTTCAACCTTTTAAACCCCAAATTTGCTTTTATGCCTTTTAATACTGACTTGAAATATGACAACTTGGTTTGTACATGAATATATTGCAGTATTTTATTTCCATATATTAAAAATAACATTTCCGCTCAGGATAACGGCGGCGCTTTTCCTGGGAGGGAGTGGTATGAGTGTCATGACAATGTCATGTGATGGTAGAATTTCTTCATTGACGAATCTATAGTGGTTGTGTATACTTTATTTACCCATGTTTGTGTTCCTATCCAAAACTGAAGGGTTTTCTTGTTCCTTTCCCCACTGAGCGCTCGGGGCTCCCGGTGCACAATTGGCGCTTGCACAGAAAACCCTCCCCGAGGAGCATCAGTGCCACCCCTCATTTACACATTTATCCTTCCAAAGTGTGGAAATCACGTCATTTTGGGTATAAACAGCACTCCAGGCACACACGTGGCCCCAAACCCCTGGTGTCTGATGGTTTGGGTGAGCCTTGGATGCCTCCACCCACCCCGACTCTGCTCGATATAATCAATCTCTTGGTGTGTAAAACGCGCGTGTGAGACCAGCACGACCTTCACATTTCTTTTCCGTGGCCTTTTGCAACCAAAAGCGACTTCACTTTCCTTTTTCCTTGATTTTTTTTGGAGCAAGGGGAGCTGTGGCTCACTCTTTTTTGCAGAGAGGTCCCACTTGGGACAGGTTTCTCTGTGTTTTTGGAGGCTCACGGCCCCCTCAGGGCTGTGGAGCTGTGGGGTCGGGGAGGCCACGAGTCCCCAGGGTCTCCCTGGGCTGCTCCAAGTGTTGGGATCCGTGTTGGGAGCCATCCCGAGTATCCCTGGCTGGTTCCCATTTGCCTGTGGCTGTTGCCATCTGTACCTATGGATATCAGAGGGAAATCTCGACTTGCCTTGTGTACTCTGGCTTTTCCTCCACCTTTCCAGGTCAATCATCTTTGCTGCCAGTCCAAATTCTTGTATTTGTCTGTTCATAACAACCTTTGGCGTAACAAACTATTGACTGTTCTTAGGCAGTGGGGATAAATTTTCTTTTTCCATGACTTTTTGTGACTGACTTTGGCTGTAAAACTTTTTTTGTTAAACAGCAAGAGTTTATTTGGGGGGGAGGGTTTGTTTGGTTTTTTTTGTTGTTGTTGTTCCAAGATGTGTAATTCTTTTATGGAGTTTTGGGTTTGTTTTTTTTTTTTTTTATTTCATGGTTTGTTTGTTTTTTTCTAACATTGCTTCATTAAACAACTAAATATTTAAAAATGTAATATTTGGACCAGATGTTGTGAATAATAGTAGATAAAGCTATTTTATTCTGTATTTTTAAAGCTGTTCAGTATAAATAAACGCGGGCATAGATGCAACGTGGTGGTGTTACAGTTCCTTTAAAACATCCCTTTTGATGGAGAATCATGGAATTGGAGAATCCTGGAATGGTTTGTGTTGGGAGGGACCTTGAAGCCCATCCAGTGCCACCCCCTGCCATGGGCAGGGACACTTTCCACTAGCCCAGGTTGCTCCAGCCTGCCCTGGACATTTCCAGGGATGGGGCATTCTCTGGGAATTCCATCCCAGCCCCCCCCATCCTTACAGGGAAGAATTTCTTCCTAATTGAGAACTGATGATTTGGAAATCCCAGTGATGGGGAGACCCAGAATCCCTTTGTAGCAAGTGCCACCCAAAAATACAACCCCCAAACACCTTCCTGAGCCTTCCAGCTCTCAGCCCCCAGCTCGTGCCACATGGACACATTGGATTCCTGGATTTATTGGGAAGAGGCTCTTCCTGCCCATTCCTCTCCTTATTATCTGTCCCTGATATCGGTTCAGGCTCCTCCAAGGTCTCCCCAAGTGCTGATGAACCAGCCGAGGGTCCCCTCGGCTCATCAGCAGCTTTCAAACAAAGCTGAGAGCACCTCAGCTCCTGCCCTGCCCTTAAATGAACTCATCTGGTTCATCTGCAGCTCTGCAGAGCAGCAGCACTGCCTGTGATGGATCAGGGGCTGGAAACGTCCGGCTGAGGGTTCCTGGCACCCTCAGGTGTCTCTCGGCCTTTGCGGGAGCTGCTCCTGCTTTGAGGGGAACGAAGACACCCAAGTGCTTTCCCAGCTTGGATGTAGCCCCTGGTGATGAGTCCAAAAGTGGTGGAGTCAGATGGGAACTAAAATGGCCAAAAGTCGCCCAAATTGGCAGTGAGAGCAGGGGAAAGTGGATTTGGGATCAAAGCCAGTGAAGCAGCTGTGTGACCAGGGCAAGGGATTTCTCATCACTCCGGGTTTGGGTCTGTGATGAAAACCCCTCTGATCTTAATCCTGACTAATCCCCTGTGCTGCTGGATCAGAGCTGAGGGAATAATTGTGTTTTCTCCTTGTGTTTTGCCCAAATCAACATTCGGCATCGACCCGCGGAGGGCTTTATTTATCTGGGGCAGAATCCCAGAATTTGAGGATTTTCAGAACGACTGAAACACCTTCAGACAGGGGCAGCAACTGTGTGTCAAAGAAAACCAGTTCAGGTCCAAGGAAAGGCTTTTCCAGAGCCACATCTCTTCCCATCTGGTTCCCAGAGGCTCTGTAAGAGCTCCCAGATGCTCCCACACAAACGTGCATCCAAGTGTGTAACATCGCTCAGCATTGACTGGAGATCAGCTCGGGGGGCTGAAAGCTGAAATAATGGGAAGCTGCCAAGGGAGCAAGGAAGGGATTTTGGGTGTTTGCTCAGTCTGAGGGGAAATAATTTGGGAGAGTTTTGGAGCTGGTGCTTCATGCTGAGGCCTGACTGAGGTCCTTGGTGGGAGCAAATCCATCCAAGATGACAGTTTAAAAGGCATCAGCTGCGATCTTTGTGTGGCATTTGGCACAGAAATTCAGGATTCGAGGAATTCACCTGCAGAACAGGTGCTGTAGCATCCTTGTTTGTCTTTTCCTGGGAGATTTTCGGCAGCCTGGAGGGAAGCTCAGGCTCTGGGGGGATGGAAGCTTTGGTCTCTTCCATGTGGATTTGGTTCCACGTGTATTTGCTTCCTCATGGATCCGTCTCATGCTCGTCTGTGGATAAGGAGGCACTGGTACCTTGGCCTGGCCTCTCACTGCAGGGTGTCCACACAGCAGGAATGGGTCAAATTCCTTATCCTTGATAACTAAATCCCTCCATCCAGGCTCGAGCCTTCCCAACCCACCCCAGCACATCACAAAATCAGGATTTAAACCAAATTTGCAGCCAAATCCCCCTGTGCTCCCGCAGGTGCCCACACCAAACCCTCTGTTTATTTTTACTTTTCACTCCCTGTGCACCCAGCCCACGAGCTGGGGGTCGGTAGGAGCCTCTCTTTGGGGTGAAATCTCTGGGGTTTGGGGCCAGGGCTGGCTCTGCTCCATTGTGAGCCTGGCCGGGCTCTTCCCACGACAAAGGGCCTCTGATCCCGCCAGCCCCGAGATGCTGCTGGAATATCAATCCCGACCAGCCTGGCTCACTTTCACCGAGTCAGTGCTTCCTCAAGCCAGATGGCTCCTCCAGAACTTCTCATATTTTACATACAAATCCAAGAAAACGGGGGGGAAAAAGGCTGATTGCAGCCCGTGCCTGCAGAGGCGCCTGTTTGGCTCAAGCAGCTGCTTAGATTATTTCTTTGTTTTGGGATTTTTTTTTTCCCCTTCGTGTGGGCTGTTTCTAGGCAAATTCCTTCAAAAGAAAAAAAGCCCAGAGAAGCCACACGGCACTGGGAAAGGTCAGGAGCAGACAAAGGAGGAGGGACACGGCCGCTGCTCCTCTGGAATACTGAATACCCTCAGACTCCCCCGACGTGCCCCCGCGGTGTCAGGGCCGGATGGGCAGGATGGGACCCCCATCCCGGGAATGCTGAGCACCAGTTCAGAGGTAACTGTGACCCCCAGCTGCAACAGCTGCTTCCAGGCAGATTTTATTTGAATTTATTTCCTTCCCAATCCCTTTCCCGGGGGTGGTTTTGGATCCAGAGGGGATCCCACGGCCGTGGTTGGGAACCAGTGCACGGCTCCATCGCTCCGTCCCGACGGCAGAACTGCAGAGGGTGGTGCCTGCCTGGCTCTGGCACTGGGTATCCCGGGACTTGGGGCATTTTCAGGCAGAAATAACCACTTTAGCCTGTGTGATACAGCCCACAAGGCTCCTTCTGGGAATTCTGCATAGAGCTGGAGCTCTGTAAGAGCGTTTCCAGCCTGGATGCGTGGGATGGGGATTCATTTGGAATCCTGCTCCTGGCAGCGGGGATGGAGCATCCTTTGGGATCCTGGTCTTGGAGCGCAACCCAGGTGCCAGAAACGTGTCCTTTGAGAACCCAGAGCCTGAACCAGGGATGCGAGACGGAGCATCCTCAGGGATTCCGGTCCGCGTGGGGACAAACCGGGCGCCTGAATCCTTTGGGTTCGCCAGTCCTGGTCCCCGGAAAGGGATCCCGGAACCGGGCTGTCCCTTGGGATTCGGGTTCCGGGATGACCCTGGAGCCGGAGGGGGGGGTGTCCCCCGCGCTCCCACCCCCGCGGCCCCGCCCGCGCCCCTCCCCGTCGCGTCCCGCCCCGCCCCGCCCAGGGGCGGCCCTTGGGGGGCACCGGCTGCGGAGCGGGACCGGCACCGGCACCGGGTGAGTGCGGCTGGGATGGGGCGTCTCCATCCTCATCCTTATCCCCACCCCGTCCTCCATCCCCATCCCCATCCCCATCCCTGTCCCGCGGGGAGCGGCCCCGGGGCTGAGCCGCGGCCTCGCCACCGCCGCCAGCGGAGGAGGTGAAAGCCGCGCTCGCCGCGGGGAGCGGGGGCGTATCCGGCCCCCCAAACCCCGGGGTGACACCTCAGCACCCTCCGCGCACCCTCAGCATCCCCCTCCGTGCTGGGGCCGCCGGAGCCGCAGCGCCCGCGGGTCCCACCCCGGGCACGGCACCTTCGCCGCGGCACCGCCGGGACCCGCCCGCTGCGGGTCGGTAGCCCAGGACAAGCCCTTGGTGGCCACCGGCTCCAGCCAGGGAAGTCCGACCTGCTGAGTGTGCAATGGGTCCCTCGCCCGTCCCCGTGTCCCCCACCCCGGCTGCACCGCCGGCTGTGCCAGCGCTCAGCACTCCCCTCCTTTCCCCCCTCTCCCCTTCCAGGACGGAGCAATTGGGCTGGAGAACAATAGCGGCGCTGGAAAACAATGGAGCTGCCGCACCTTGGCGCGTAGGGATGCGGGAAGGACGCGGGGAAGGGATCCCAGCCCCGGAGTAGCGCCTGAGCCGGAGCCCCCAACAGCAGCGCGGGGAGGATCAGCGGGACGGGGTGAGCGCTCGGCCGGGTCGTGTCCTGTCCTATCCCGTCGTATCCCATCGCATCCCATCGCACTGCTGAGCAGAGCCTGGCGGAGGCTCCCGGGAGGAATTGTCGCCTCTGGATGATGCTTTGCTACCGATCGCGGCGGGATCGAAGCGCCCTTGGGCCGGGTAAAAGCCGCCCTGGGCTGCGGGGACGCGGCGGGGTTTGTGCGGGAGGGAATATCGTGGCCTCCCCGGGGAGAGGGATATTCCCACAATTCCTCGCACGGCCGGGGGGAGCCTCAGCTGCGCCAAATCCGCCTCGGCGGGATCAGCCGGGGATGCAGCCAAAGCTTCCGTGCACTGCCAGGGGGGACAAGGACAGCACCCCCACCCTCCCCAAAATGCTGATTTCTTTGCAGGAGCAGGGTCGAACATCCCTCTCCTGCTGAAAACACAATATTGAGGGGGCTTTTCCTACTTTCCCCCTTGTTTTGTTGCTGTGTTTGAGTTGTGAATCTCCCTGGGAGCTCGGCAAAAGTGAGAACTCATCCCTTCTCCATGTGAGAGGCTGGGATCATGACCAGTCTCCCTCTGCCCCACGGGGCACTTGGGGCTGTAGGGATGTGGGAAGGGGCTTAGGGAGGTGGTTTTTAGGGAGTGGAATAAGTCTGGGGGCCGTGGGGTGGGTGCCTGAAAGCACTGACAGGAGCAGCTGGTGCTGGAAGGCAGAGAGGGCTGAAACCCTCCTGCCACGGGGCCAGGGCATTGATTTATCTGCTGGTGGTTTAAAAGCACTTTGTGAGGCCTCAGCAGAAGCTCAGCCTGGGCAGGGACGGGGGAAATGCGTCAGCTCAGGGTGGGGAAACTGAGGCCCAGCGGGGCCGGGGAAGGGGCCGGTGCTGAGCTGCCCTGGCCGGGCCATTGGGCAACTTGCACTTTGCCAACCCTTCTGCTGGGGCCATTTCCAGCCTTTTGCCAAATCTGTGGGGGAATATTGGGGGCTCAGCAGTGGCTGCTCTCTGACTGGGTCTCTGTTCCCCTCCACCCACCTCCCAGAGCTTCTCCAGACCCAAAAAAGGAAGAATTTGCCCCTTTCCTGCTGCTCGGAAGGGGATGTGATGACGGAGGCGAAGGTGGCAGCGCCGGGGCGTAAACAGGAAACAGGATCCTCAGCATGGGAGGATGAACCTGCCTTTTGGAGCTCCCCTTCCACCCCAAAATGTGCTTTTTTTATGGCTGGAGTTCACCCCATGTCCCCTTCAAGGATCCAGGGATTTGGCTTTACCCCTTTGCATCGCTGTGATGCTCCAGAGTGAATCTCCATGTGATACCAAAGGCTCCACCCGGGACTGTGCTGCTGTAGGAGGGTTTTTTTCAGCCACTTTTATTTTTTTTCAGCCACTTTGATATTTCTGGCACCATTTTTGCAGAAGCCAACAGCTCTGTCCTTTAATCCTCCCGGGACACCTCCAGAGCTTCGCCATCCACTGTCAGGGGACACCCCTGAGATCCTTATTCCTGCCATTCCTGCATCTCACAGGTGCTGAACCCCAAATTTGGGTCCCCACAAGCACTGACATTTGTCCCAAAACCTTGAAGCCGGCTGCAAAATCCCCTCCCACTCCCATTTCTGAGTGATAAATAGGATTATTGCTGGGTTTATTCCCTGTGGGAGGATGGATGGATGTGGAGAGGTGGCTGCCAACCACAGGAGGAGGGTTTTGCCAGGTTTTGCTGGGTTTTGCCAGGTTTTCCCGGGGTTCTCCTGTGGCTCCTCAGGAAACCCAGAGCCCTGTCAACCCTTCTGCTGCCCCACGTGATTTTTCAGTGCCGAGTTTCTCTTCTGCTTTTTCTCCAGAGCCAGAGCAGCTTCCTGCCCTTCCCCTCCTGCCCCACCTCCAGCGTGGCCTTTGCAGCCTCTTCTGGGGTTTGAAACATGTCAGGGAATATCTTTTGTCGTTGCCAATCATTTATGTGCTGGGATTTATCCCGACTCCAGGATTGCTGCTGGTTTTAGGGGCAGGTTCATCCTCCGACACAGGTTTTACCACACGGCCTTGGCTGAGTCATTTCTCTGCCTGCATCTGTTGTGGGGTTTTGTGTGTTTTCCTTGCAGGAAAAGGGGTTTGTTTCCCAGGGGACCGGGAGGAAGCACATGGTGATGTGGGAGGTGGAAGAAAACAGGGGTTTGCAGAGTAAAGGCTTTTTTTCTCACCTCAGTTTCTCTTTTGGGATAAGGAAAGGGAGTGGAGAGACCCTGGGAAAAGGGAAGCTCATCTGTAGGAGAGGTGGCACAAACATCCAAGGAAAAGCACGGCCTGAGAAGCCCTTTTTCATCATTCAAAACTGCCCCAATGTTGCATTTCAAGGTGTCTCTGCTGCCCCATTTCCACAGTGCTCTGAGTCTATCAGTGCTCCAAGGTCTTCATCCTGAAGCCCATTTTAATTCCCCTTCATTGTGTCCAAAAACCACTCTGGAGATCTAAGCCAGGGCCAGTCCCAAGACGGGATTTTTATGGGACTTTCCAAGTGTTTTGCACAAGAGCAATGGAGCTGTTTTGGCACAAAAATCCAACTGGCAGCATTAAAAAAACCCCTGAAGGACCAGCCCAACATCTCTGGCTGCTTGGAAAATCATCCCCTGTGCTGCCACCGGGTTTGGGATGGCACAGGGAAGCAGCAGCCAGGTCCAGACTTGGATGTCCAAAGCCTTGCAGAATAAAATAATAGTAAAATAAATAGAGGAAAGGAGCAACTCCCACTTATAACCCTCCCACCTCCTTGTCTGGCATCACGGGGACATCCATGGATGCTCCAAATGCAAATTCCATGTAAGTGAATCCACCGGGATTAAATTTTCAGTGAGTTTACGGCTCCTCTCCCTTATCTGATCTCCCTCCTTTCCCATCATTTTGCCGGAGAAGCCACATCAAACTCCACATCCGTGTCCTCTGGAGCCTTTTCCCAGGAGCTCTTCCAGACCCAGGGGCTTTATTTTCTCTCAGTTTTCCATGGATGGGGGTCAGGGATGTGGGAATGGGGGGGCTCACACTGATGTTCCTCTCTCCTCCCTCTCTCCAGCTCAGCTCCCATGACAGGAGTGTGGGGGGATGGATTACGGAGGTGGAGAGGACCTGGTTCCCTGCGGGAAAGACAAATTCATCTCCAAGTAAGAGGCTCAGCAGGGCTGGAATTCAGGAGTACTGCAGGAGCTGGGAGCTGGGGGGCTTGTTTGGAATGTTCCAGGGGGAATATATATTCATTTTTAAAATATATATATATATATATAATATATATATATATAAAATTAATATATTTATTTTTATATATTCATTTAATATATATAATATATATTAAATTAATATATTTATTTTTATATTTATATAGTGTATATATTTTATATACATTGATTATATGTTTTTGTATAGAATGAACATATGTTATATAATATATAATATATATTATATTATATATTGTATTGTATTATATTATATTATATATAGCAGAGTATGGTATAATATATTATAGTATATTGATTTATTATATTGATTTATTCTACCTCTATATTATATGTATGTATTATCTATAATATGTAATATAATATACAATATATAACCTCAAAAATTTAATGTATATCTATATAAATAAAATTATAACAATACATAATGTTACATATATATAATGTTATATAAGAATATATAATACTATAAATGCAATATATAATATATTATTTATGACCCATACTATATTATCTATGATCTATAATATATAATATTTAATCGAGCTGGAAGAATGGAGTGACCCTGGGTTTTAACTCAATTCAGTTGGATTTGGAAGGAAAAAGCCATTCTGGGGCAAGAAATGGTGATTTTTCTTAAATAAAAAGGGTTGTTGATGGGATTTTGAACTTTTCCTTAGGGTTGTGACCAAATGCTCCATAAACTTTCTTAAAAAAACCCAAGTTTTGCTGAAAAAGTCCTGATTAAAAACTGTTCTTTTATTCTTTGGTAAAGAAGTAAAATGATTCTTATGTTTCAGGGAAGATTTTGGAGGAGCTAAAGCAAATCTGTGATATTCCCCCTTCCTTTTTGCCTTCTGATAAACCCAAATCCCCGTGATTTGTGCTTGTTTGTGATGGTCTGGTGGTGCTGAGCATCCTTAACCTCCAGCAGCCAGCCCAGCTTTGGGAATTAATGCCAGGGGCATCACTGCCCTGGGATTCCTGGCTGGGTTTGCCAGCTGGGGATGGCTTATCTTTATTTTTTCAATGAATTTATTTATAATTTTGCATTTTTATTTTCATCTTTTCTTCATATTTTATCTTTTGAACTTTGTTTTTTCCTTTGGTTTTGCCTTTATTTTTATTTTTATGGTTACTTTGCCACCAGAACAAGGCTCAGACTTTGATTCTGAGCTCGAGGTCGGGCTCTGGCGCCCGGAGCCAACGTGATGAACCAGCCTGGGAGAACTTGTGACTCCACATGACCCCAGGGCTTGGGGGCCCCAAAGATGGGTTTGTTTTTCAGCCTTGTGACCAACTGCCCCGAGGTCTGATGGGTTTTCCTACATCTCTTTGGGGAATTTATGGGGGAGATGGTCACAGGGAGCTTCTCCCCCTCATTGTGGGTTGAACCCACAGCCAATGCCTTCAACAAGGGAGGTCTAGAGGTGCCAAAAGACCCAAATTTGCCTCAAATTCAGCTATTTTTTGGTCCCCCAGCAGCACAGCAGGTTCTTCAACCAGGAAAGCAATTCCTGCTTTCTCCCAGATCCTCAAAACTGCCTCCCCATCCAGCTCAGGGGTCGGTGGGTGGTGCCTGCAGCATCTCCTCTCCTTCCTCCAAACCTCTTCTCAGCACCTTTCCCACGTTTTTTCCCCAGAAATGAGCTGCTCTTGCACCTGAAGACCTACAACATCTACTACGAAGGGCAGAACCTGCAGCTGCGGCACCGGGAGGTGAGAACGGCCCAGGCAGAGGGAAACCAAGGGAACTGGGCTTGCTTCAGGCTCAGGGAGTCAGGGAATCATGGAATGGTTTGGGCTGAGAGGGACCTCAGAGCCCATCCAGTGCCACCCCCTGCCATGGGCAGGGACACCTTCCACTGGCCCAGGTTGCTCCAACCTGGCCTTGGATCTTCTCTCTAAACTGGAGAGACTGGATTTGTTGAATGGAGAAAGAATTCCCTGACTGGTCTTTAAAGTCCCTTTTCCAACCCAAACCACCCCATGATTCCATGTCACGATTCCCTGTCAGATGCTTTGCCCAAGCCCAGGTAAATGATATCAGCTGCTCTTCCCTCATCCCCCAGTGCTGTAGCCCCATCCTGGAAGGCCACCAAGTTTTCCAGGCCTGATTTGTCCCAGGGAAGCCACGCTGGCTGTCACCAAATCCTTATTTTCCACGTGCCTTATCAGAGTTTCCAGGAGGATCTGCCCCCACGGCCTTCCCGGGCACGGGGTGAGACTGGGTGGGTTTAGGGGGTCCAAAAAAAATGCCTTTAAATCACAGAATCACTGAATGGTTTGGGTGGGAAGGGACTTAAAGTTCACAAATTCCAACGCCACGTTCCCGGGTGTTTTTTGGGATGCAGGAGGAAGGGGAGCTCATCGTGGAGGGGCTGCTGAACATCTCCTGGGGGCTGCGGCGCCCGATCCGCCTCCAGATGCAGGACGACAACCAGCGCATCCGACCCCCCCCCTCCTCCTCCTCCTGGCACTCCGGCTGCAACCTGGGAGCCCACGGGTGAGCTGGGGGTGGGGGAGACACCAACACCCCCAAAACCACCCCCAAAACCCCCCCCAGCCCCCTCAGGGCTGTCGGGATTTGCTGGTTCACCCCCCGCTGCTGCCTCCGGGCAGCACCCGCAAGGAGCCAAGTCAGAAATGAAGGAGGGGGGGTTTGCTTGGAAAAGTCCCCCCCCCTTTGCAAAGACCCCCGATTTTTTTGACCTCCCTTTTGCAAAGACCCTCCTCTTTTGCACCCCCCGTTTTGCAGAACTCCCCTTCTGTAAAGCTCCCCCTCCTGCCACGACCCCTCTTTTGGAGACACCCCCCTCTGCTAAAACCCCCCTTTTTGCAAGCCCCCCTTTTTACAAACCACCCTTTTTCAGACTCCCCTCTTTTACTTAAATCCTCCTTTTTGCACTCCCCTTTTTGCAACTCCCCCTTTTTACAAACCACCCTTTTTTGCAAGTCTCCCACTTTTTTCACCCCCTCTGTTTTTAAAAACCCCTTCTTTTACTAAACACCCCTTTTACACCCTTTTTTTTGCACCCCTCTTTTTGCAAAGACCCCTCTCTTTTGCCAAAATCCCCCATTTAGTCTCAAAAGGAAACAAACCCCCCCATTTTTCAACTCCTCCATTTTTACAACCCCCCCTTTTTGCAAATCTACCACTTTTGGCACCCCCTTTTTTTCAACCCCTCCTTTGCAAACCCCCCTTCTGCCAAAATCCTCCTTTTTGCAACGCTCCCTTTTTTCAAAGACCTCCCTCTTTTGATGAAACCCCCTTTTTGTAATCCACCCTTCTACAATCCCCCCTTTTTTGCAAAGAACCCCCTCCTTTGCTAAGACCCCTCCTTTTGTTTCAAAAAGAAACAAACCCCCCTTTTTTGCAACCCTCCCCTTTGAAAACTCCTCCCCTGCAAAGACCCCCCTCTTTTGCAAACCCCCAGTTTTTGCTGAACCCCCCTTTTTGATAAGACCCCTCCTTTCTGTCCCATTTTTTGCAAACATTCCCCCTTTTGTAACCCCTCTGCCAACACCCCCCTTTTGCAGCCCCTGCTCTTGCAACCCCCCCTTTGCAGGGACTCCCCTTCACAACCCCTCTTTTCCTGCAGGAATCCCCCCAAACCCCACCTGGTTCTCATTTCCACCCCTAAAATTCCACGCTGGATGCTGCTCTGGTCCCAGTGATCCTGGGGGATCCTGGAAAGCAGCTGGATCCCAGGAGCAGCAGAGCTGGGATTTGCTGTGTCTGTGCAGAGGGGGAGGGTCTTCCTGCTTTTTCCCTGATTTTGTAGATGTCTCCCAAGGGAAAGAAGGGTCAGGTTCAGCTTTCCCTGTGCTGGAGTCAGGAAAATGCTGCTTGGCACCTCAGCATCCCTTCCTGGGAAGAGGGCAGTCGGGATAACACCCTCTAAGGTTTTTTTGGGAGCGGGGCAGGATAGGATTCAGGATTTATATTGCAACCAGCCCGTGCTGTGCCCCTGCAGGGCTGGTTACCTGCTAAATCCACAGGGAGAACAGGCAGCTTCCCAGGAGGGAAACAGCAGCCTGGGAGCTTGGGGAGGGTGGAGATTCCCTGGATTATCATTCCCTCTGCAGCCACACGCTGACAGGGCACCACCCTCACCTTTGCCCACCTCCAGGTCCGTGCTGAAGCCCAGCACCCTGCCCGACATCCAGGTGACGGATGCAGAGCCCACACCCAACACGGAGGCTCCCGGGAATGGCACAGGTGAGCCGGGCTTGGATCCAGCTGGATTTATCCAGGAGGTTGGGAGCAGCTGCCTCGTGCTGCAGTTTAACTTGAGAAAATGCAAACCAGGCTTCGTTTTAACTCCAGACTCAGTTTCCCGTCACGCTCCAGGTTCCTTTAAGCCACTTCCAAAGAACTTTTATTTATTTTGTTTAATCTTAGCCCCACATGGCCCAAAACTCAGTGATTTAAAGATCTTTTCCTACCTAAATGATTCCATGGTTCCCGTGGGTTTTTGCTCAGTGGGATGTGGTGGAGAGGAGCTTGGAAAGAAATGGGGGGGATGGAGCAAAGAGCCCCGTGGGATCGCAGGGAAAAGGATGTCGGCGCTTCCCCTTCCCGGAGGCTCCGCTTTTGGGGAAGAAGAATGGGAGCATTGGGAAGCGCCGTTACCATGGGAAGTCAACAGAGCTGCAAAGTGTTTGTCCCCTCCCTGGTTTTTCCTCTGTGGAGGGGGAAGAGCTCGGCCAGCGCTTCATTAACCCCTTGTTC